CTGTCCCTCAGCTCTTCAGCTCAAGGCTAGCACTCTACCACTTGAGCCACAGCGCCACTTCCGGCTTTTTTTTTTTTTCTGCTTATGTGGTGCTGAGGAATCGAACCCAGAGCCTCATGCATGCAAGGCAAATGCTCTACCACTGAGCCACCTTCCCAGCCCCTAGACTGCATTTTTGCTGAAAAATTTTGAAATTTTCTTCTGTCTGTTTCAACCTGGAAATAAAATAGTAGCAAAAATAAATACAAAGAAGCCAGCTGCTCTCCTCTCAAATGTCACTTGTGATCTGAGCGAGTATGTCTAATGATTAGATAGTGACAAATAGAATGTATGGGTTTCTTCCCTGAAAAAATTAAAAGAGGTTTAGTACACCAACTTCTTTTTCTAGTGGATCAATGTATATTTTTGAGTCATGGGGCTTGAACTCAGGGCCTGGGCACTGTCTCTGATCTCTTTTGCTCAAGGCTAGCAGTCTCCACTTAGAGCCATAAGAGCCACTTCCCGTTTTTGGGTGGTTTATTGGATATGTGTCTCATGGACTTTCCTAGCTATGAACTATGATCTTCAGATCTCAGCCTTCTGAGTAGCTAGGATTATAAATGTGAGCCACTGGCACCCAGCTATTTCTCTATTTTTGTGGTAAGGTTTTCACATAAAAGAGAAGAAAATAATAACCTGCTTTTGGGATTACCCTGTCTTAGGTGAAGGATACTGCCCACCATTGCATGTGTGCAAATACAGCGTTGTACTTGAGCAAGAATTTTATTTCATTGAAAAAAAGAGTTAAGATAGGGCTAGGAAGGTGGCTCAGTGATAGAGTGCTTCCTTGCATGCATGAGGCCCTGGGTTCGATTCCCTGGCACCACATAAGCAGAAAAACCTGGAAGTGGCACTGTGGCTCAAGTGGTAGAGCGCTTGCCTTAAGCTGAAGTTCCCAGGGACAGTGCCTAGGCCCAGAGTTCAGGCCCCACACCGGCAAAAAAAGAAAAAGAAAAAAGTTAAGATACAGTGGTAAACGTTTATAATCATTTATAAATTAGAATGCTTCAAAAAGTATGTTGAATGCACTTATTTTGTATGATTTTTTTAAAAAAATTATGTTTGAAATGCCTTTCAGGTAATCCGGTCCTACTTGAAACGTGCTGACCCGTTCTATGATGAGCAGGAGAACCACAGTCTCATCGGGGTGGCCAATGTCTTCCTAGAATCCCTTTTCTATGATGTGAAGCTACAGTATGCTGTTCCCATCATCAACCAGAAGGGAGAGGTTGGCTTCTTCTTTGTGCCTCACTTCCTGCAGGGAGAAGGGGAGGGTGATGAGATCTAGTGCTGCTATTTAGTCACACAAACAATATATGTGTGTAGGAATGCCTTGTTTCCACAGGGCTCAGTACTCTGAGTGCAGAACAACTGTTGGAAACTAGCCTTCAGAATTCTCACATACTGATAATCTGAGAGCTTGTTTCGGATTTGGTGGAGAGGTCCTCGCAGGAGATGGGCCCAGCCCCAGAATCCTGCATCTGCTTTGCCTTATCACTGCAGGTGGCAGGCCGGCTGCACGTGGAGGTGATGCGGCTCAGCGGAGCCATTGCCGAGAGGATTGCAGGAGGGGATGATGCTACAGAGTTTGGCTTCGAGAAGGAGGCCCAGGAGAACAGGCTGGTCTGCATGGTAAGTCCGAGTGGGGCCGTTTGTGAGGACCGTGGGTGTTTAGATAATGTATCTTCTTTTACAAAAATTGAAAGTACTAGTTCTGTACTTGTAACACTTTCAGTGAGACTTTGAACAGGTTTCCTCTTTTCTCTGGACCTTTCGGTTCTGACATAGAGCCTGAGTTTATCTGCACTGTGGTGTGGAGAAGCCCAGGTTTCCCAGCTCCCCCTCTCACAGCACTTCTGAGCCTTGATAAAGGTGGGGTCTACCACTCACTGGGCCTGTCCCTCAGCTGCTGGTGTGGTTGCTCTGAGTTTCTCTGCTTTTTGAACACAGTAATTTGGATATGCTGTTCCAGCACACCACATTCTCCAGTGTGCTGTTCTGTCTCATTTTCCATGTGAACCACTTAAGACATACATGTTGAATGTCCTGATCAGACATGTGTCAGATGCCAGAATGCAAAGATGAGGAGAGCTAGGTTCTTGCTTTCCAGTGCTAGTGCTGTGTGCGGCTGCCCGAGGGCTTGGAGGCATATATGTGTGGGCAGAAGCCTCCATGTGGTGTGAGCTGAACAGTCTCACAGGGCAAGGAGCCCTGTGTCCTGACACACAGAAGAGAGATGGTAGAGATTTCTGGGAAAATGAGACCCAGGCTGAGCCTGCAGGTGCCATTCCTTGTGGCCTGTTCATTCCTGGTGCCTGCCACACTCAGCATGGGTAGAGCTCCTGCTTTCTGCATCAGCTGAGGGACAAGTGCTCTGCTGTGTCCCAGACACCCCTCACGGGCTGGCCAGCACTACCGTTAGTGCAGAATCCTTGCAGGAACTTGTTAACGAGAAGGTCTTTAATGACAAGAGATCAAGAGGAGATCACAATGTTTAAAGGCAGGGCATAGTGGTGCATGTCTGGAATCCTAGCTACTTAGAAGGCCTTTAGAGATCAGCTTGCACCAAAAAAGTTCATTATACCCATCTGAAGCAATAAGTTGGACATGGTGGCACATCTCTGATATTCCAGCTCTGTAGGAAACATAAATATGAGGATCATTGTCCAGAATGGTCTGGCTATAAACTCAAGATCACATATGAAAAATAAAGCAAAAATGTCTATGGGTGTGGCTTAGCAACCTACTTTGTGATCACAAGGTTCTGAGTTCAAGCCCTGATAATGCCTTCTTCCCCTCAAAAAAAGGTAGTGAAAGAAGCCTAGATCCATGTCTTTGTTTTGTTTTTGTATTGGGGCTCGAACCCAGGGCCTCTCTCTCATACTTGGCCTTTTCTGCACCAGCTAGTACATCACTTAAGTCATGCCTCAAGTCCTGATTTTTTGCTGGTTAATTACAGATAGAGTCTTTCAGACTTTTCTGCCAGGGCTGACTTCAAACTGCGATTCTTAGATCTTAGCCTCCTGAATAGCGAAAGTTGTAGGTATGAGTCACTAGCTCCCGGCCTATATGTAACTCTTAATTTGTAACTCATCCTAGTTAGTCCACTTCCTCAGTAAATATTTCTAGAATTGAAGTTGGTGAGGAGAGGATTAAGTTAAACACTTGCATCAACACAGGGGAGGCTAACACATTTAAATTAGGCTACGTCTGACAGCTCTCTGCATAAACTCAGAAGACCTTTAGTGTTCAGTCACTTCAGGTTTACCTTCATTGATTTGTACTTGATTTTAGAACTTGCTTTTGAGGTTATGTGAGTATTACAGATGGAGACAAGCTTGATGACTTCCATTTTTCATGATGGACTAGTAATGCAGCGCCAAAGTACCAACTTTTGTCATTATAGTAAAATCATATTCAAGGGTTCTGTTCCACTGTGGAAAAAAAAGAATGTATCTAAGGTAATGTGGGCTTTTAAACTATGTGGAAGTAGCTCAACTTTTTTTTTTTTTCTGTACAGGTTTTGAACTCGGGGCCTTGCACTACAGTAGACCTAGGGTGCTATCTCTTGAGTCATTCCTTCAGCTCTTTTTGCTTTGGTTGTATTTGAATTCAAGTCTTGTTTATGCAGGACTGCCCTGGACCATGATCCTCCTATTTATGCTTCCTGTCATGGCTGGATGACAGGCACGTATAGCATTTTTCTCTTGAGATGGGATCTTTTTGCCTAGGCTGGTCTTGAACGACAGTCTTGATCTCTTCCTTCTGAGTAGCTTGTGTTACTAGTGTAAGCCACCATATCCAGCTTTTAACTTTCTTTTTAATGGAAGATAACACATGGAAAAAGTAAGAAAAGTAAAGTTGATCCCTGTTCACCCTTGTGCTGTACTTGTCAGCTTATAGCCCATCTCGACTCGGTCTCTATGCAGCCTCCTTCCCTAAGGTTAGCTGGAAGCCATCCAGATGGCATAGTTTATCTATAAGTAGTTTAGTATGTGTCTCCAAGACAGAGGGTAATTAAAGACCAGAACAACCATAATATCCTCATCAAAAGTCACCTAATTTCTTTTCTCTCTTTCTTCTTTCTTTTCTTTTTTTTTTGTCGGTCATGGGGCTTGAACTCTGGGCCTGGGCGCTGTCCCTGAGATCTTTAGCTCAAAGTTAACACTCTTCCACTTGAGCCACAGCCCCATTTCTGTTTTTCTGGTGGTTAATTGGAGAGTCTCAAGGACTTTGCTGCCCAGGCTGGCTTTGAGCCATGATCCTCAGATCTCAGCCTCCTGTAGCTAGATTACAGGCATGAGCCACTGGTGCCCGACTCACCTAATTTCTTAATGTCATAAAATATGCAGTTAATTTGAGATCATACTAAAGTTCCTTCTATTTCTAGACCCTAACTCTGTGTCTTTCTCTTCAGTGCTCAGTGGCTCCGAAATGTTTTTGTTGTAGAAACTGGGTCGTTGCCCTGTGGTCTCTTATTGTCTGGATTCTGCTGATTATCCTTGGTCAGTGTGTTAAGATGTGTTGGATAGGAGTTGGTGTTAGATATAAGGATGGTGTAACTGAATTCCATCTGAAGACTATTTTTTCCTATAGGAATTAATTGAATTGATTTTTTTAAGTTGTTTTTTTCTTTCCTTTTTTGGTCATGTTACTGGGGTTTGAACTCAGCCTGTGCTTGCTAGATATGTGTACCATTACCGGATCCAAGCCCCCTGCCGTTTTTGGTTTAGTTTATTTTTTTTTCTTTTTTTGTTTTTGGGTCCGGTCATGGGGCCTGAACTCTGGGCCTGGGCGCTGTCCCTCAGCTCTTCAGCTCAAGGCCAGCGCTCTACCACTTGAGCCACAGTGCCACTTCTGGCTTTTTTCTTTTTGCTTATGTGGTGCTGAGGAATCGAACCCAGGGCCTCAGTCATGCAAGGCAAGCGCTCTACCACTGAGCCACCTTCCCAGCCCTGGTTTAGTTTATTTTCAAATAAGGTCTTGAACTTTTACTCAGAGTCGTACTCTGGCCTCTGCCTCCTGGTCTTCAGGGTTTTTTTTTTCCGTCTAAATATCACTTTAAATTCTTAGGTTGAAACGTATTTGTATTTTGACCTGTTGTATTCGTTTCCTTTATTGAGTCTCTGATGGTCCTATCTTTGGCTGGTGGCAATTTCTTTTTCCTTGGCATAACCTGGCTTTCACAGACTATGTCAGCTCTTGGGTATGATGAATCTTCTGGTTTTAGTCTGTACACCTGGATTCAGCCATTCTCCAAGGAACCTCCAGTCCTTTGAGTGGAAAGTACTTTTTAGAGTTTGTGTTCTATTATGCAGTAGACTATTATATAAGAAGGACAAGGACAAACCACTGCCTGACAATTAGGTACTGGTGGGAAGACCCCGCAGCCTGGGGAGAATCACGCCATCATTGTCCATGAGAACCACCAGGATGGATGTTTGCATAATTGAAGAGAGTACACACATTAATATCTAAAGTGACATTAAGTGAAATTAGTGTATTTCAAAGCCCCAGGGGTCTGCTGTCATCCTTTTACTCTTCTGTGTGGAGCAATTGCAGATTGTAGTCAGTGCTGCTGACCCCTTGTGGTGATTTTAATATTTGCACACACACATGTACACATCCATCCCCAAACTGATACATAGTATAGGTATCTAGCTAGATATTCCTCATTCCTAATACTCTTCATTCCTAGCAATATAATTCCTCAGAAGTTGCTTGTAGAGGAAGGTCAACATATTTAACCTTATTAATTTCAACCTTAAAGCCTAGATTAATTCTTATAGAAAAATAAATGTGCATTGACCATCTACTCAGTGCCTGGGCCTGCTCTCATTCCTTCATGGGTGAGGTTGGTAATGTTCCTCTCCTCTTAGGAGAAAGCTAAGCCTCAGATAAATGATGAAGTAATGGCAGAGATTCTGCTTAGCTCTGACTCCAGAATCTTCCCACATAACATCATATTCCCACTGCTTCATCTTAAAGAATTGTTATAAGCATTTAAAACCCTTAATGCAAAAATTATTTGAAATGTTCTATTAGAAATCAGTTGCAGAATATTTACTACTCAGTTTGATGTCTAATCTGTTTTCTCTCTGGGGAAATTTTGTGTTGGTGTTTCAACTTCGTTGACATCACAGGGAAAAATGATTTAGAATGGAGTTCCTATTTGTTGCCAATCCACCGGATGCCTGGGGTAGAGAAAAATCTGCTTTGTATGATTTTCTGTGTCCTTAGTAATACTTCCTGAAATGGCAGGATTGCTCTTGTGGTTGCTGAAGTATGTGAACTTAGGCCACATATTCAACTTTATTTTACACTAAATTTATTTATTAGACATGGAGTGAATCATACATCATGGTCAGACAAAGAATTTAATTTATGATTAACACTCAGTTGTATGAAAAATGACATAGCCAATCACAAGTTCAGAATTTAACTTTAAGTGATTTTAGGATTTAGGAACATTCTGCATAGTTGGAGGAGTTTCAGACTGTCACAGCTTACCGCAGAAGCTTGGGTGGATGCTGCTGCCAGAAGAAACGTGTAGGGGCTGGGAAGGTGGCTCAGTGGTAGAGCGCTTGCCTTGCATGCCTGAGGCCATGGGTTCAAAAACTCAGCACCACATAAGCAAAAGGAAAAAGCCGGAAGTGGTGCTGTGGCTGAAGAGCTGAGGGACAGCGCCCAGGCCCAGAGTTCAGGCCCCACGACCAGACCCTCCCACCCCCACAAAAAAAAAAGAAACGTGGAGAGTGGTTGTCTGCTTTAAAATCTATGCAGGCAGTCACATTTGTTCTGGGTGCTGGGTCTGGTTCAGCAGGAGTCTAGCCATGCTTACAGTTGCATGCAGCAGTCAGTCCACTTCTCCACAGCATGCTTCCTTCGCATATCTGTCTCCCCTACATCTGTCTGGAGGCAGTTGTAAATGTCTGCACTAGGTGGTAAACATCACCATCTTCCTGCTCTTTCCCCTAGATCTTCAGATAACACATTCTTAAAGTTTCAGGAAAAAAAAAATACCACCATAGTGAGTGGCGTTTCTACTTGAGAAACTTGTTCTTATTTATATTTTAATAAAATGTTTTGCTCTTTATTATTTGTTGTTTTGTTGGTGCATACTTTGATTTTGTTCATTTGTTGTAGTTAATAACTTCGTTCTTGCCACATCCATGGTCTGCCACATGTATGCCACCCAGTGGTGTTGGTGTTTGGGAACTATTTCCTTTTGAATCGATGATGACGATATGTTCTTAGTATGTTCTAAGAAACTAGAATTTAGATGTTCATCACCCTGCCCTCTCTCAGTAGGTACAACAATCATGGTTACCATTTCTTATATGGAAACATAGTCCCGGAGAGAATGGGGTATAACCAGAATTGGCCAGCAGTTATATTTATCCCCCAATAGACATAGTCAGAGCCTTGGACTCAGCAGTTAAACTAAGCAGAGTCTTCTTTTCCCTGCAGGTGAAAATCCTCCAAGCCACAGGGTTGCCGCAGCATCTATCCCACTTTGTGTTTTGCAAATACGACTTCTGGGATCAGCAGGAGCCGGTGATAGTTGCCCCCGAAGTGGATACCTCTTCCTCTCCCGCCAGCAAGGAGCCTCAGTGCATGGTTGTTTTTGACCATTGCAGTGTGAGTTTGCTTACTAACTCATGTGTAAACAAAACTAAAAGGAAATCTTGTTTTTCTGAATAATTTTGTACCAATATATTTCTTGGATGGAGTAAAAGGTCCAAGTGTCAATGCATTTAATGTGTCCAAGATTAAAACTTCAAAATTTGGTTTAAAAAAGAAATGCAAGTGTGTATGTACATTTGTTTGAGCTCTTCTCCACGTGGCATCCATGTTTTCTGTGAGGTAGCTGGAGAAACTGTTGTAGGAAAGGGCTAGTGAGAATGAAGCTAACAGACAAGACATTACATCTCATTCTTCCTCAAGTCCTACTGGTGATGCTGAATTGTAGAACTTTTTCGACTAAAGAAACCATTCACACAGGTCTCTTTGGCCAAATTATTTGCTTGCCTTGTGGCTACTCAGCAGCAGAGCCTGGCCTAGCAGGTTCCAGAATCTTTTGTGCTACCATGCTATACTTGATCTAGCTCTTTTTCAAGAACAAGGTTTTTTCCCTAACCCATTTAAAACACACCTATATCTTCAGTGCATCAAAGATAGACAAAGAAGGTGGAGGAGATACTATCCAATGAGAAATTCTGTGACTTTATTTAAGAGTGTTTCAGAATAAAATCCCAATTGCAAAATGCTGTCTTATGAGGACTGGGTGGGAATAGTTCTTAAAATTTAGTGATTTTTTTTGTCACTAATGATCATTATTTCCAGTCTCATTATTAAAGATTGTTAACTTAATAACAAATAGAAAAAACATTTTTTGCAACATATTGCTACCTTATTACATGTAGAAACTCTCATATCAAGACCTGATAGGGGCTGGGAAGCTGGCTCAGTGGTAGAGTGCTTGCCTTGCATGCATGAAGCCCTGGGTTCCATTCCTCAGCACCACATAAACAAAAAGAAAAAAACCGGAAGTGGCGCTGTGGCTCAAGTGGTAGAGCGCTAGCCTTGAGCTGAAGAGCTGAGGGACAGCGCCCAGGCCCAGAGTTCAGGCCCCATGACCGGACCCCCCCCCCCCAAAAAAAAAAAAAAGACCTGATAGTTATTGCAATGCTTAATACTGTTACTTTAAAAAGTAACTCCAGAACATTGCTAAGAAAGTAGAATACAGTACTGGCCATATATACCAGACTTCAAAAGTGAAGTTTAAAAAATTTAGGGTTACAGTTGTTTTTAAAGTCTGTCTGGGTACCCATTATTGGTGTTAGATGACAGTTCTGTTCTATAATGAAGATGTTTTCTGTTTCTTTCCTTCCTGATAGAATTAAACCCATAATTTAGAGTTAAAAGGGACTGACAAAAATAGGCAAAAGCAAGCATATGATTACCAACAAGTCTTTGCTGCTGTGTTTCAGGAGTTTTCTGTGAACATCACTGAAGACTTCATTGAGCATCTTTCTGAAGGAGCGTTGGCAATTGAAGTATATGGGCATAAGATGACTGATCCCCGGAAAAACCCAGCTCTGTGGGATTTAGGAATCATTCAAGCAAAAACACGGAGTCTCCGGGACAGGTGAATGGTAGACATCCATCAGGTTCTATTGACAATTTCAAGAAGTTACTAGAGAATAAGCACTGCCATTTATACAGGTATATGCCATTTCTTGAGTAACTGTCAAGCTCCAGGTGTTAACTTATAGCAGAACTTTCTTAGAGAAGTGAACTTGGAAGAGTGGTAGAAGAAAGTGTGTAGCTATTTAAGAAGAAGCAATAACACCCTGACTGTGACTCGAATGTTAAAGCACTTACAAGCACAAGGTTCTGCCTGCATTCAGTCCCCAGGACTATGAACAAAGAAACAGTGAAACTTCTTGAGAATGGCGACTTGTCACTGTGACTTATGTCAAACTAATTGGCCATAGAAGTGGATGAGGGTCTCTGGTAGTGCTTGTGTTTGTGTTGCTAGCTCACCTTGTTGGAGTGGCATCACTGACGGGAGCAGGTAGGCTTGCTTATTGACTTGGAAGAGTTAAAAGGGAATGACAGAAATAGAAGATGTTTTTTCTTTCATCTAATTATAGATGAGACCAGATTTTCTCTTTTTGCATCTAGAAAGATTTAGCAAATCCTAAATTAGAAAGCAAGATTTTTTTTCTCCATTCTTTTACTGACCTGAGAAAAGATACTCGTCAAATCACTGACCCATATGGCACTGTTTTTATCTATGAGAAGATAATCTTGGCACTTGCTTTTGTACATCTGATCAGAATGTTCCAGTTATCGAGCAATCAAGTTGAAATAGATTTGTTATTCTATGTTTCAGAACAGAATAGAGGCATGATGGGCTAGCTGGGTAGCTCAGTAGTAGAGCAAGGCTGTAGTTTCAATTCCAGTTTTCTCCCCACAAAAAACAATAGTAGCAAAAAGGCAGAAAGTTGGTTTGTCATGGTGTGTGTCAGTATATGCTTGCATGGTTCTAATTGACTACTGACAATTCTACTCGAGTACTGTGTTTAGAGGTTATTATCATGGCTAAGTCTCATGCAGAGGATCCTAAGCTGCCTGTAGTAACGGAAATGTATGATCTCCTAAGAACTGCAACTATTTCCTAGGTGGAGTGAAGTCACCAGGAAGCTGGAATTCTGGGTTCAGATTTTGGAGCAGAATGAGAATGGCGAATACTGTCCTGTAGAAGTGACTCTTGCAAAGGATGTCCCAACAGGAGGGGTTTTTCAGCTCCGGCAGGTAACAAGATTGCACATAGTTGTATAAAATTCTTTGGCCTCAGAAGGCTTAATACTAGATTTTTTTTTTTCTTTTTGGTGCTGGTACTGGGGCTTAAATTTATTGTTGTTTTCTGTTTTTTTGGGTCCGGTCGTGGGGCCTGAACTCTGGGCCTGGGCACTGTCCCTCAACTCTTCAGCTCAAGGCTAGCACTCTACCACTTGAGCCACAGCGCCACTTTCGGCTTTTTTCTTTTTGTTTATGTGGTGCTGAGGAATTGAACCCAGGGCCTCAGGCATGCAAGGCAAGCGCTCTACCACTGAGCCACCTCCCCAGCCCTGGGGCTTAAATTTAGTCAGGTCTTTATGCTCTGGTTTGGCTTTTTCATGGCTGATGATCTCCAACTTGAACCACACCTTTGCTGGTTAATTTTGTCTGCCTTGGCTGGCTTCAAATTTCAATTCTTAGATTTCAGACTCCTGAGTAGATAGGATTATAGGCATGAATCACTGGCAAAAATGCCTGGCAAAATAGCAAATTATTCTTAATTGGAGATAATGAAACGGAGACTGGTCAAGTCCTTTTTCTCATATGTAAATTGTTTCTTCATATATACTTCCTTTCATGGTCATGAATCTTGTTACTTATGAGAGTTTAAAAACAGCTCCTAGCCGGGCGCTGGTGGCTCACGCCTGTAATCCTAGCTACTCAGAAGGCTGAGATCTGAGGATCGCGGTTCAAAGCCAGCCCGGGCAGGAAAGACTGTGAGACTCCTATCTCCAATAAACCACCAGAAAACCGGAAGTGGCGCTGTAGCTCAAGTGGTAGAGCGCTCGCCTTGAGCTGAAGAGCTGAGGGACAGCGCCCAGGCCCAGAGTTCAAGCCCCACGACCGACAAAAAAAAAAAATAAAAACAGCTCCTATTAGAGTTTAAGAAAAGGATAATCTTCAAAGGAAAACTTAGAAAATGGGATCATAGGACATAGTATAATTGTATCAAGCAGCAGCGCAGGACTATGAGGAAGAGCAGCTCAGAGGTCAGCATGCTGGAGGTCAGGTCGGTGTGCTGGCCTTAGGGTGTCCTGGCTGTCTCAGATCCCTGTGAGCCCCTTCGGGAACCTCTTCTCTTCACCTGCACATGGAGATGATGGCGTGTGGAAAGGTGCTATACACGGAGCACAGTGCTTATCCACGGGCAGGGGTTAGGTAAGTGCTGCTGAGTAGAGGGAGCACACACAGGTCTGCAGCGAGAAAGGTGACGGCGGTCGCCTCACCCCAGGGCCGTCTCCGTCCCTCAATCTGAACGGACAAGCAGCAGCAAGAAGGAAAGTTCCTCATGCATTTTGTACCAGTGATTTAGAAATATTCCTTTTGTTTTGTTGTGCATGAATTTAGCATTTAGTATAGTACTAAATCTTATGAGAGTTTTCACACTTTAAATAAAATTCTTAGAATATTGCTAGGAAATCAGGAAAGTATTCAAAAAATATGAGAAAAGGCTAAAGAAAAGAGAACATTTACTTACTGTTTAAGTATCTGCATGTTTTAGAAGATGGGAGATGGTAAGCACTTGCTTCTGACCCCAGCAAATGAATGGGCCAGGACCCAAAACCAAAAAGACGTGTTACAATTACTGTGTGACATATATCATCAGAATAGAATCTTATGGGTGTGAAGACCATCCTTTTTTGGGCATCTTTAAAATAAATACATGTCTTCGTCGGCTGCCTTAGAAATTTCTCTTTCAATGCCGGTGGTTCATGTCTATAATTCTAGCTACTCAGGAGGCTGAGATCTGAGGATTGCAGTACAAAGCCAGCTCAACCAGGAAAGTTAATGGGGCTTTTTTATCTTCAACTAACCACCAGAAAACTGGAAGTGGTGCTGTGGCTCAAAGTGATAGAGCACTTGCCTTGAGCAAAAAGAGCTCAGGAACAGCACCCAAGTCCCACGTTCAAGCCCCCCAACTGACAAAAGAAAAAAGAAATAGATTCATCTAGCACTCTGTCTGCTTAAAAGAAAAAAATTCATCTTCCCGAGGCCAGGCCAGATGATTTTCTACAGTTTCCTGTCACCTGGCTATTTTCATGTTTGTGACATGTGGTGATACCTTTTGCTAGAGTGTTCAGAACTATCTGGTTTGTCAGGAAGGCTGTTGTGAAGGATGGGAGCCTTCACTGGGGTGTCCACAAGAGCCATGAAAGGTCTGGAAAGATTTTTTTTCCTGCGCATGCAATTAGAATAAAGGCCCTAAGACTGGAATTGAGTCCTCATGTATAGCTAGGGTGCCAGAAGAGATGGCAGAAGGCTGTGGCAGCTGGTTGAAAGGGCCTTGGATGCTAGGCTTACCTGAGCTTAATGTGTTGGAATGTGCTTGACAAGTGGAATATATTGCTATTTATTTTTTGTGCTGGTACTGTGTCTTGCTTGCTTGTGGCTGCCACTCTACAACTTGAACATGGCTTTTTGCTGATTATTAAAGATTAAGTCTTGCAGACTTATCTGCTCTGACTGAGATCTGAAGATTGCAGTTCAAAGCCAACCTGAACAGGAAAGTCTATGAGACTCCAGTTACCAAAAGCTGGAAGTGGAGCTGTGGCTCAAATGGTAGAGCATTAGCCTTGAGTACAAAAGTTCAGGGACAGTGTCTAGGCCCTGAGTTCAAGCTCCAGCACTGGCTCTCGTGTGTGTGTGTGTGTGTGTGTGTGTGTGTGTGTGTGTGCGTGCATGCGCATGCGGTGCACATACACGTGCATGCACACCACACACACATACACACACAGAGTCACACAGGATTCATTCTGAAAATATTCTTCAGCTGGACCAGTCTCTTCCAGTCAGTTTATTTTGTACTTCTAAAACTATTCTTATTCTTGGATAAGGGCCGTGACTCTGATATCATTGGCCCTATTCTTTTCTTTTTTGTTGGTCATGGGGCTTGAACTCAGGGCCTGTGTGCTGTGCCTGAGTTAAGCCACAGCGCCACTTTTGGTTTTCTGGTGGTTAATTGGAGGTAAGAGTCTCATGGACTTTACTGCCTGGACTGGGTTTGAACTGCCATCCTCAGATCTCAGCCTCCTGAATAGGATTACAGGTGTGAACCACCAGTGTCCAGCTGACCCTTCTTATTTCTAACTCTGCTTATTGTTTTTTTTTTTTTTTTGGGTCCAGTCGTGGGACCTGAACTCTGGGCCTGGGTGCTGTCCCTCAGCAATTCAGCTCAAGGCTAGCGCTCTACCACTTGAGCCACAGCGCCACTTCCGGTTTTCTTTTTGCTTATGTGGTGCTGAGGAATTGAACCCAGGGCCTCAGGCATGCAAGGCAAGTGCTCTACCACTGAGCCACCTTCCCAGCCCCTAACTCTGCTTATTCTTAAAAGTAGACTGTATCCTGCCTTTGGTGGTCTGCTCCTTAACCACCATGTTTCTCTCTCAGTGCTTTCCTTTTCCTTTTCCTTTTCCCTTTCCTTGCCTTGCCTTTCCTTTCCTCTCCTCCTATCCCCCTCTCTCTCTCCCTCTCCCTTTTATCCTCTCTTCCTTTCTCCCTTTCTCTCTCCCTCTCTCTCTCCTCTCTCTCCCTCTCTCCCTCTCCCTCTCCCCCTCACCCTCACCCTCACCCTCTCCCTCTTCCTCTCCTCTTTCTGTCCTGGGGCTTGAACTCAGCGCCCAGGTAGTGTCCCTGAACTTATTTAGCTTATTTTGCTAGCACTCTATCACTAAGCCATATTCCCAGCCTGTCAGGATTTTCTGCACTAATACTTCGATGACTATAAGTGTTTTATATTCATGTGTTAGTTTATTTAAAGTCAGCAGTAGTACATTTTTACTTTGTATCCAATTTTTTTGTTTTTCACATTTTAAAAATGCATGATTATTTACTTAGAAGATATCACTAGAAAGTAGGATTGTTGGAACAAAGGATACATTCATTTATTTACATTTTTTTTTTTTTTTGGTACTAGGGCTTGAATTCAGGGCTTGGATGCTATCCCTGAAGCCTCTTTGTGCTCAAGGTGAGCACTCTACCACTTGAGCCACAGCACCACTTCTGGCCTCTTCTGAGTGGTTTATTGGAGATAAGACTCTTCATGAATTTTTCTGCCGAGGCTGGCTTCAAACTGTGATCCTCAGATCTCAGCCTCCAGAGTAACTAGGATTTGCAGGCATGAGCCACAGTCCCCAGCTGATACTCGTATTAAGTTTGAGAAAGCAATACCAGTTTACACTTGTGCCCCACTCTATGATATTTGTTTCATGAACTTTAGGTGATAGCAGAAATGGCCTTTCCAAGTACAATTTCTAGTTTAGCAAGTGAAAATAAAATTATTTCATGTTTATCTTGTATTTATTGGATTATTAAAGTAGGTATTTTCATTTTCTATCTTATAAACCTTATTTTCATTCTTTATGATGGTACTTGTGTAAAAGGGAAGTTTTCCTGACGAGTTTCAAATTTTCGTTTTTGTGTTTAGCATTTATAAGATAGGTGAATTAGTGTCTCCAAAGTCAGAGATGTTTTTCTCAACATCAGTCTGTAGGGGGCTCCCTAAACCAAAATTTTGGAAATCCAGAAACTGATTTTGAGATTCCATGCAGGGGCAGTCCCGGCGCGTTCAAGTTGAAGTGAAGTCTGTGCAGGAGTCTGGGACGTTGCCGCTGATGGAAGAGTGCATATTGTCGGTTGGGATCGGGTGTGTGCAAGTGAGGCCACTCCAGCCCCCGAGGATTCATGGCACTTTCCACGTAAGTTTTTATGCGTGTGTGCTTATTGAAAGACAAAACCAGACCAAGTCTTTTGGAGCAGTGGACAGTTCTGTCAGAACCTCTGTTTCCTTTCAGCATCTCCTTTAGGGCATTGCATTTGGGGGAGGGGCGGGGTGCGGTCGTGGGGCCTGAACTCTGGGCCTGGGTGCTGTCCCTCAGCTCTTCAGCTCAAGGCTAGCACTCTACCACTTGAGCCACAGCACCACTTCCGGCTTTTTTCTTTTTGTTTATGTGGTGCTGAGGAATCGAACCCAGGGCCTCATGCATGCAAGGCAAGTGCTCTACCACTGAGCCACCTTCCCAGCCCCAAGGGCATTGCATTTTTGTGGAATCTATATCATACTGTCATCCCTGGGCTTTGTCCTGGCAAATGGAGAGTTAAAACCTCTGAGTCTTTCAAGCTCCCCTGGTGGAACAGCGATTAACCTCCTCTTCACTGCCCTTCTTTCTCCCCTCCCCCCCCTCCATACACACCTCCTACTGGCTTGTGAAGACTCTTTGCCAGCAGGTGTTTGATTTTCCCTGGTGAGTGGGACTGTAAGCCCAGCGGGGGAAAGCATTGTACTGGTTCTCAAAAAGGTCAAAGGAGGGCTCTTCACTTCCTCTAAGAAGCTGGAGGTCTTACCAACTTCCTGACACCAATGAGGCTGAGGTAGATGGGCCAGGACATAGTATTAATTAAATTAGAAGACATAAACTGGAGAAAGATTCAGATTGTGTAGTGTAGGGCAGCCTGATTCTTGGATAAATAAGTACTCTGATTCTACTTACACGTGTTTTTTCTTTTAGGAAGAAGAAGAAGATATGGACAGCTATCAGGTAATTGAACACCTGTTACTTCATCAAACCAGCTTGATTAAAGTAGTTAATTACATAGTCCAGGTTCTTGCTGTACTGTTACTTAATACTTAATTTTAATTCAAATACTGCTTTTTTCCTAAACTAAAACAAACTAGGGAACCGTGAGTATTGTGTCACAAACCTTAGGGGAAGGCCTGTGAGGGAGAGCTGGCTCCCTAAAAAACCAAGTCTCCTTGAACACTCCGTGAGCTGCTCCAGCCACCCTGTCTCCACAGAGTGAGGTCAGGACTGAAGAAGAGTTTCACACAGGTGAAGCCAGGTCGCCCTCCGTGATACTTCCTGTAGTCTTAGTCTTAGTGCCTCCCCCTTTCTTTCCTTCTCCTAATTTGCCAGCATTTGTTGGTATCGGTGAAGTTTCATCTTGTTAGTCATCTTTTAAGACTGCCGGAGCTCTTTGGAGCCTGATTATGTCATCCAGTGTAGTCACTCTCCTGGCTTTGCATCATTCTAATTTGATAGAAATGTCTGCCTTCCTATAAGTCACTGATAAAAACATTGCATCAGATGGGTTAAATGTAGAGTTCTATGGCATAACAGTAGAGACTTCTTTTAAGCTGACATTATTCCATTAATCGCTGCCCTTTGGATGTGATGTTTTAGTCCTCTGTGATTTCCTTCCAAGCTGATGCATTGCACGTTTCTCCATCTTGTCCACAAGAATGTCATAGGCTATTTGGTTAAGTGGCCTGGTGAAATCCAGACACAGGGCATCTGCAACATTCCGCTGACCGCCCTGTCTCCTAATCTCATTACAAAGGAAACGAGGTCAGATTGGAGTGCTTGCAGGTGTTGACTGGTGGTGGTGTTAGTCTATCAATAACAGCCCATCTCTTGCCGCATCCCCAGCCCCTAAAATACACAAAAAGGAGTGAGAGAAGTCTTCACATTTTTTGCTTTCAGGAGCCTAGAGAACACGGAGAAGGCTGTAGTTATAAAATCTGAAGTATTCTTCTGGTGACCCCGAGATATACAAATCTGAGGGATTTTTTTTTTAATACAATTTGTTGGTTCTGTCCAGCAAAGAGAACTTGTAGGAGATCTTTGTTGCTAATTCTTGGATTTTTTTTACCCCTTGAGCCATTAGAAATAAAACATGTTCTGTATACCAGAGGATGCTGCTTGAATTGCTACTAGAGTTGTCTGGTAGCACTAATAAATTACTACATAATATATTCATTTTCAAATCTTGGGGTAAAGTAAGAATTATCAGTCTCATATACTGATTACTGTCTGGACATTATATGGAGTAGTTTTTCTTATTTCCTTTCAGGATCGGGATTTAGAGCGACTGCGTAGAAAATGGCTCAATGCATTAACAAAACGACAAGAGTATTTGGACCAGCAACTGCAAAAGCTTGTCAGTAAATATGGTAGGCAGAGCAAACGGTATTCTCCCCTCTCCACCTCATTTGAAGCCAGCTAGGCTGAGATATCAGCTGTGGAGTGGCCAGAGCTTCTGCTTATTTCTCCTGGCTTACTGTGTGTGTCTCGTCCTTTCAGAAAACACATACAGTTGTAATGATGTCTTGATGTTGTACCCCCATCCCATTCAAAGAAAGATGTGCAAGGCAGGCACACATCACCCCGACATCTCACCTGCCATGTCCACAGCTCTGGCGACCATCACACACTGCCATAGGAAAAGGCCCCACCCCGGTGCCAGTGCTGTGTCGCCCAGCTGACCCTGGCTTAGAGTCCGTCCTTCATCCCCACCAGTGTCCACTAGCATTGAAGTGACTGAAATGGAAGCAGAGCCGGTGCTTGCTCAGAAGGGATGTGGGAACAGCATGTGCCATATCTGGATCCCATCCTTCCTTCTTCCTGACGTTCTAGATAAGACAGAAGATGACGCTGACCGCGAGGCACAGCTCCTAGAGATGCGGTTGACCCTCACCGAAGAAAGGAACGCAGTAATGGTCCCCTCCGCTGGCAGTGGTATCCCAGGGGCGCCAGCAGAATGGTAGGACCCCACAGGGTTTCTCATGAGTTTCAAGTGCTCACTGTGCCCCGTGGGTCTGGTTGGCTTTAGCGTGTGGTGCAGTCGGTTGAAGATACATAGGTGCTCACGAGGGTAGAGTTGTTTGAAAGAAACTGTTAAATTATTTTCATGTGCTGAATAACTATGGCCTAAAACTGTTTCATTAATAATTTTATTAGCCAAAGTAATTAAGATTTCTGAGAACTTAAATCAATATTTAGTACCGGTGCACTTAGCATTAAAAAATAGTTAATATGTTAATTTCTTGGATCATTCATTCCTTTCAAAGATGTTCAGTCAAGAAAATTGAATCTTTACCAGTTTTTGGTTTGGGGCCTAGTTGAAACTGTGCTGTCAGCAAATGTTCTCTGCTACTTGATAGAAATTAAAGATAGTAAGTTAAGCCACACAGAGCCCATAAGTATGTCATTTAATAAGAAAGTTTAAATGGGGCTTTACTGAGAGCAGCTAAGTGGGTGTGTGAAGCTGAGTTTCAGTGTCTGAGCATCTAAAGCAGTTCTTACAGTTAAGTCTTTCACATTAAATGGTAGTGAAACCAATGCCTGGCACCTTGTTGCCTGGACTGTCGTGTCCCTGAGTGTCCCAAAGTGTGTGCTACTTGAGTCGGCTAGACCTGAGATGACATTCGTCCTTCGTGTTTTAGGACCCCGGTGCCTGGGATGGAAACTCACATTCCAGTTATATTCCTTGACCTAAATGGTAAGTTAGAAGGATCTTCTGAAGGCTTACCCTGACAAGCTAGTGACTTAATTAAATTTAGCCTCTAATCAAGTGTGTTTCTAGACAACCTGTCACCCTGAGGTTAGCACCTCATTTTTTGTAAGCCCTGTTTTTACAGTAGCAACAGGCAATGACATCTTCTCGCCGTTCATTGCAGCAGCCAAAGCTCTCCACACATGCTTCTGTTGCCACCCACTTAAGCCAGTGCTTATGTTTTTCTGCACTTTATTCTTAAGGCAAGAATGATCTGTGGAATAATAACGTGTGGTAGCAGATAGCATGTTTTCTGGTATTTTCTTAGCATTATTTAATGAATTTCTCAAATTCACCCCTGCATTGTCTTTTTTTTTTTTTTGGTACATAATTTGTTTTGCTGCCCCCTCTCCCCAGCATACTCTGTAGGAAGAAAAATAGAAAATAAATGGTTTGATTTAAAGAGCTAAAATGTGAAGGCCAGCGGCCAAGTTCCTAAAACATCTGCAGCAGAACAGTGTACTAAACTGGCGAGTTTGGATGGCTTGGGTATGTTCCTTCCATTGAGCAGAAAGTAAGCTGTGATGTTTGAAATAATCAGCATCTTGTACCCCTGTGCCTCACATGTGTACACACACAGTTAGAGAGTAGTATAGGGCCATTATAAATGTCTTTCTGTCCATCCAGTGGAGTGAGGTTGTTGGTTTGTAACTATTGCTGCAGAACTCCACCCTTCTTTGTTGTGCTCTTGAACCTTTCAGGTCAAGGGCGACTGGTCTGTTCTTACATTAGGTTTTCCAGATAGGAGAGGGGTTGCGTATGGCGGATAGGAATGCATGAGAAAATGGAAAACAGGGAGCTTTAGGGAGACCAGTTTGTCTGGATATATGAAGAATCACTCAGGACTTTGTTCAGTACTCCACACGCTCTTGGGCCACCTCCACCCAGTTGCTTTTGGTGCCTCTGCACAAACTTGAGATGGGTGTGGAGTTGGGAGGTTGGGCCCGGGCCTGGGTGAGCACGGCACTGAAGTATGGTTTTTGGCTGGGCTTTCGTGTCAAGCTTGTAAAGCCTGTGGGACTTTGCCATCCAGGAGCTGGAATTGTCTCATTTCTTCAGGCCACTAGAAAGGTGGGGAATTTGGATTGTGACATTTATCAGCACATCCTCTGTAACCTCTTCGGCATCTTGGCTCTGTTTGCCATCCATGTGAAATAAGTGTAAAGGCAGCAGTTTAAGATAATTTCTTGAGGTATTGCTAAGATCTGTGAACTATTAAATGGTCATCAGCAGTGGCAGATGAGATTGCAGAACAAAAGCAAATGAAATCTAAAGCAGAAGTAATGAGCACACTGGAATGGAGCTGGTGGGGGTCGTCCTTGAAAATGATATGTTTTGCCGTGGAACGTCTTTGCTTTCAGCGGACGATTTCAGCTCTCAGGATAATCTCGACGACCCAGAGGCTGGTGGCTGGGATGCCACCCTGACTGGAGAGGAGGAGGATGAGTTCTTTGAACTGCAGATCGTGAAATACCACGATGGAGAGGTAAGGCACCAGGCCTGAGGAGGAGCTGATTAAAAATAGTTTCTTTAGCCTTTTGAAACAGCTGGCAGGAGAATCACTCTACGCTCACATTTCTCACATGTGGAAATGAAAACCTTTCATTACAACTTCCAGAAAGAGTGGCGCTTGACCCCCACTCCCTCTTTTCCTGTCTGTCTTCCTGGGGAGGAACCTGTGTTAGTGTAGACTTCGGAGGCGGCAGCCTGGGGCTCTGCCCTGTTCTCAGCTCTGTTTCCAACCTCAGAAGTTGCATTTGGTGCACTGAGGTACGGGAGCTAAAGCAAAGAACACATGGGGCATTTGCTTTCAAATTCTTTCATGAAGACTTAAAAGGAGGAAAAGAAACCTGGGTGTGATGGTGTACTCCTGTACTTGCAGCACTTAGGAGGTTGAGCAGGAAGACCGAGCTCAGGGCTAGCCTGGGCTGTGTGGTGAGACATTTTATCCTACGTAAAAACAAACACAAACACAAAATGAGGAGAGAACAGAGTTGATTTTGAAGAGTAAAGTGATGTGATAGGTGTGTCCTGGGAGTTTATTCCCTGGCTTTGAGTGTGCTTGAGAAATTTTATCAAGTATTTCAAGAAAGAAAACTGATGTGCTGCTTTTCAAACACGCTATTGCTGGGTGGAGTTCCTAATATGTAAACCTGGCCTCGAACACCAGGAAACACTTCTTGCCCTGAGCTGTGTTCTGTAGCACAGCCAGTTTACCTTTAAGCCAGGGTCAGTGTGGGGTGATGAGAAAGGCTGCAGGACTGTTCAGGTTAGAACAAACCACAGGGACGAGGCAGCAGATGCAGTGTGTGATCCCGGGCACATTCGAGCATGGACACATTTGGATGTGGACTCTCTAATAAGGAACTTGTTGTTGATGTTAAATTTCCTGCAATTTACTCTAAAGTGGTTCAGCAAAAAGAATATGTGAATGAGCATGCAAGTGGTGGGGCGGGGGGAGGGAGGAAGGAAGGGGAGGAGAGAAAGAAGCAAAGGTGGACAAATGCACCTAATTGGTGAATCTCCCACTGTAACTTTTCTTGATGTTTGCAGTATGTGTGTGTGTGTGTGTGCGCGTGTGTGCATGTGTGCTTGCTAGTTCCTTTTTTTGCTATCATAGCTGGCGCTGTACCACTTATGCTACACCTCTGGTCCAGCATTTTGCTGGTTACTTGGAGACAGAGTTTCTTAGGCTTTTCTGTCTGAGCTGACTCGGAATCATGGTCCTCAAATCTCAGCTACCTGAGTTGCTCACATCACAGATGTGAGGCACCGGTGCCAGCTTGAACATTTTTTTTTTTTTTCAAATAAGGAAAATGAATAGTAAGGCTGGTCTAGAAAGTATCATGCCCTCTACTCCATAGACCGAGCAGCGGCAGCTACACCCTCATATGTTGTCCTCTTTTCAGAGCAGGTCTCAGATTACTTCAAGTCACAGAGGCTTCCTTAAGGAGGGAGGTCTTTGAGATTTGAGAGAAGAGAGCAACATGTGGGCCCCCTTCCTCTGCAGGTGAAGGCGGAGGCCTCCTGGGACTCTGCGGTACACGGCTGCCCCCAGCTCAGTAAAGGCACCCCCACCGAGGAGCGTGTGTTCCTGATCGTGCGAGTGACGGTCCAGCTCAGCCACCCCGCCGACATGCAGCTGGTCCTGCGCAAAAGGATTTGTGTGCATGTTCATGGCCGCCAGGTGAGGCTTCCTGCCTAGCAGCCACAGAGACTGACCCACAGGTGCCCCACTCATGCCTTCTGTGCAGACACGGTCCACAGCACTCTTGAGTTTTGCTACTCTGGGTGTCAGTTCCGTCCTGTCCCATGCAGCCCCCTCCCCAGACAGTGAGGAGTGGTCCTTCGTCCTCTCTGAGGCATCAGTGTGTTGGTGCCCGGGGGGCTGTGGGGGAGAAGTCGGGTGGGAATGCCGCCTTTGCCTGGGCCCTGGAGGATCATCCGCACGGGCTGCTTCCAATTCCCTTCCTGGGCTTTCCTTTCTTTGAAGCCTTTCATTCATCTATTTGGCTTTGGGATAAGGTAAATAAAAAGTTATAAGGGACTTTAGGGAGCGAAAGTCCGTTTACAGCTGCAGTCTGGGTGCGGGTGCTCGCCACGCGTGTGGGGATCACGGGCGTGAGGACAGAAGGTAGACTGCAAGGCGGGGGCGCCCCATGAGGAGAGGCATCCGTGTGCAGAAGCGGCAGGAGGGGAGGGCAGGACGGCTGGAGGGTGGAGAGCGGAGAGGTGAGCAGGGCGACGGGTTAGCTGAAAACCTCGAGGCAGGAATTGAAACTCTTTTTGCCAGTATAAGATTTGGGTTGGTTTTTTTTGGTTTTGTTTTTTGTTTTTGGTCCAGTTGTGGGGCCTGAACTCTGGGCCTGGGCGCTGTCCCTCAGCTCTTCAGCTCAAGGCTAGCGCTCTACCACTTGAGCCACTTCCAGCTTTTTTCTTTATGTGGTGCTGAGGAATGGAACCCAGAGCCTCAGGCATGCAAGGCAAGCGCTCTACCACTGAGCCACCTTCCCAGCCCAATCCGGTATAAGGATGTTGGAGGTTTGTTCTGGGGTCCTTGTTAACTGACCTACCTCCCTTTTGTAAGGCATTCTCAATACAGAGTAAAGGGGTGCGGATGAGAATAAACTTGTTCATTAGAAGGAGCACAGTCATGGTTGACAGACTCCTAGATGTAATCTCCACCCCCAGAATTAATCTTTACTTCTGGATGTCACACTGATATCAATCCTTGGAATGAAGACTGGCGGTAATGTTGTTAAAATTGCAGCTCTTTTGCTTGCCAGCCCAACATCAATAAAGCGCAGGTCATAGGGCGACCTGTAGACGTGTACGGCGTGTCTCCCGCTCGCTCGCCACGGCTTCCTTTCTGGGAAGCCTAGAGAGGATTGACAGAGACATACCGTTCTTGGGGCGCATCTTGAAGAGTAATTTTTCATTTCCAAACTGCCATCCTCGTTGCCACACCCCAAGCTGTACGTGGCACAGCAGCCACTCGGAGGCAGCACAGAGAGGCGCTTCATGGAGTGATCACATTCGTACCGCTCTGTTTTCTGCATGTTGTTTTTTAATGGTAGAAGCAACAAGTTGCCACATTTCTTCCTGGTTGAAGTAATTTGCGAGTATTGGGAGACAAATCATCTTCCCTCAATCTCAGATACTTAATTCCTGTAAGTTGCTTTTTTTTTTAATAGCAAGAGTAAAGATTTCCGTATGACTCTAATAGATGTGCATCAGATTCTCTAATTCCTTGCAAATAGAAAACAACAAAGATTTAGTCGCTTCCATACTCCTCTCTCCCACCCTCTAAAAGCAGCTGTGCTCTAACCGACCGTGGCGGGGCTCTATGTACTACAAATCAAAGTGGAGGCAGTGAGGGGCGAATACACGGTCCCTCCGTACAACGAGGTGCTTGCACCATCTGTGAACTAGAGATCTTGGAATAAGAGAGAATTATTATTAGGCGGAATTGTGAAATTATGTATATTTAAGACCAAATGGCCTGGTGTTGCCTCTTGGAGTTTTTGTACAGTCCACCTTCCCTTTTGCTTGGGGGAGAAAGGCTCCCTGCCTTCTCCGTTCTCTTTCTCTTCTCATTTTTATTCAGCAATTGCATTCCGACCTCATCTCTGCTCTCTTCAACCTCTGCAGGATGTTCAGACTTAGCAGCATCTCCAAATGAGTCATCTATGCATTAATTCAACAGTTCAATTCTTAACTGCACAAAGAGCATAGTCAGCATAAACAATGACCAGGCACTCTTAAATCATTCTTCATAACGATCTTGCTTTGGTCAAGAATTTAATGTCTGAACTTGTCAATATTCATGGCACAAAATGTCCATCGTGCTGGGGGAAGAAAGCGTAAGCGTCACCAGTCCTTGCTTGCATCTTAGTTAGAAGGTCATCATGCTATCTCTCTAGATGTGTGGCAGCAGCTCCCAGACTTCAGCTCCGTGCTGTGCCCATGTGGGCCACAGGACTGGGCACACACGCAGGTGTCCAGTCAGGTGGCTCTGTGTAGTAAGACAAAGGGGAGGAAACAAATTTCATGGGTGATATGAAATGGGGTAATATCAGAAATAGGCTGGTTGCATTTGTTCTGTGAACACTATTTCTTTTGTGCTGGCTCTTAGCTAATGTAAGCACAAATTTTTGAAGTGGGAAACTATACCTTCTGTTTATTTTTTCCTAGGGTTTTGCTCAAAGTCTCCTAAAAAAGATGTCTCATCGAAGCTCTATTCCTGGCTGTGGAGTGACCTTTGAGATCGTCTCCAATATCCCAGAGGTGAAGGATCAGATGTGACTTGAATTTACTAAAAATAAATGCTTAAAAGCTAACTCCCCAAAAAGCCACCTTGCTGAAGAAATACACGTACTAAATGCACAAGTCTAGGGAATTTTCTAATAGTGCAGTGTTGCTTGAGGCCTCAAAGGTTCTGGTCTTGGTATTTTGTTAAAGAACTGGTCATTGGGAAAGGAACTCAATGGGTTTTAATTTGTAGAAAAGGATGATTACAATACACCAAGCCTAGCCCAGATTCACATTGGGTTTTAGAAGCAAACAGGAGTCCTGTTTCTGCCTCTTACTAGCAAAGTAAATTTGGATAATAAATTCTTTCATTTGTCCAGTTTGTCACAGGATTGGTTTTATGGATTAAATGAGACAGTGTTTCTAAGATAGTGCCCATGTACTCAGCATTAAATTGTAATAGCTGTTGTTACTGTTACAGTGATTATGAATATTAGCGATGGTGGCTATCTCTCTTTGTGAATACACTGAGGTTTTCTAAGGAGTTAAACAAGTGGGGCTTAGAATGTCCCCTTTAGTTTAGCTTGCTGTCCCCAAGGATGACCTTGGGCCATCTTCTGACTCCTCCCTTGTCTTACCTACGACTTCTTTACACTTAGAAAACCTCTGTTGGTAGAATATTTTGTAATGGCTGTATTTTAAAATTAAGTGGTGGCAAGAGTTTTCTCCGCTTCATTGTATACAAAACTATACTTCTCTTCTGCTGAGGAACTTAGCCCCTCTGCCTGTGAGTGCTGGCAGCCTTCTGCTTCGTAAGTGGCCGTCTCACATCAGAGGAGCAGGAGGGGCTCCACCAGCGAGCCAAATAAGGATTTGCCTGGCTTCTGTCCTTGAGGGCTCTGAGCCATTGGCTGCCGCCACCCGGAAAGAGGGTGTGGACAAGTGTGAAGAGTGTTACACGGAGTAGGCTTTGTGGTCGTAGCTGTGTCTTGCTGTGTCCCCTCTCCCTTCCACACCACGGCTACAGCTACAGCTTCTCCGTCTCACTAGTCTTGTTGGGTTCTCTCCTCTGTCCAGTGAGTCAGCGCAGTGCCTCTGCACTCCTTCTCCAGATGTCCCCAGGGTTGTACGGCCTCGGTGAACTGTTGTCAAGATGCTTACATTTCTGGTCCTTTCAGATCAGTGATGGTTGGCATTTTGTGGCCTTTTTTTCTTTGAAGGAAGCAGTTGTGTTAACTATTTTAGCTGTTCTGGGTTTCACCAGCCTGTCATATCCCCCTGATACCTAATCACCGTGGGCAGCGCATTTGAGGTTCCAGAAGTTGGTTAGGGTGGATTTATTTTGGAATCGATTCTCTCACTTCAGACTGTGTGTGTGCATCAGAGAGCTCCTGTCGTGTCTTCTTTTGCAGCTCCCCTTGGTTTTCACACGTGTCTTCTGTCCTCCAGGATGCTCAGGGAGTGGAGGAACGAGAAGCGTTAGCAAGGATGGCAGCCAATGTGGAAAACGCAGCTTCTGCTGACTCAGAGGCGTACATCGAAAAGTACCTGAGGAGCGTGCTGGCGGTGGAGAACCTCCTGACCTTAGATCGCCTTCGCCAGGTCAGCCCAGGCAGCCAGGGCAGCCCTGGGGTTCTGTGCCCAGCTCGGTTCTGTGCTTGGCTTTCTGGATTTCACAGTTCTGTTAGTTGACCTTGAACAGCGCAGAGTGACTATAATGGAGTCACTCTGTCTTGTTTGTGGTCATAGCCTTTATTTAGAGAATGAGGAAAACCTGCCTAGAAAGTGCGGCTTTGGATGTATCTCAGGTGTTTGTTCTGTGTCCCCATGCAGGAAGTGGCCGTGAAGGAACAGCTGACGGGGAAGGGGAAGCTGAACAGGAGGAGCATCAGCTCTCCCAGTGTGAACAGAGTGAGCCTCCTCTGCCTTCCTCCTTCCCCTGGGACCGCTCTCTGCACCCCTAGAATCTTGCCTCAGCTGCTACTTGCTTCACTGTGTTGATTGACGTGTCTGATCTCTGCCCTTCCCCGCTACCTCCCCCCCCCCCCAGTCTCCCTGCCACGGTACCCAGTGGGAGGGTACCGTGTGGGAGGGCACTGAGTGACAGTCACACGTTGCTCATAGTCCTCCCGCTGCCTTGGCTGGGTCTCAGGAGTTTGGATGGAACTGAAGCCAGGCTAGCCAGGTGCCTTGGGCAAGAATTCATCTTCTGAGCTTAAATCATGCTTACATTGAGAAGTCTGGAGTAGACTTACAGACCGTAGAGGCCACTGGGAAAGTGTGAAGGAGTAAAACAGGTTTGGATAGCTTCATACTGGTGGCTTAAGCTTGTTGATTTTTTTTTTAAGATCTAGATGTACTTCACGTATGTACATATGTACTATACGTATGTCATATGAATCATGAAAATAATTCTTCCTGAAAAATACGCTCATGGCTCCTGGATGCATTTCCCTTCTCTGCATTTTATATAAATACCCCTCTTTTTCCCAAAGTGACACCGGGAAAAGCAGGGCAGGCCCCGCACTGCAGCGCAGGGAGCAGCGTGCGGGAGGGGCTCCCGCTGGAGAGCCACACATGCAGAAATGCCACCTGTACTTCAGCGCAGTGCCCTCTCTTTCCTTTAGAAAATACCCTGATAGAGGAGAGGATTGGTATTTGGGAGGCTGAGGCTTACATAGTTGGTGAGTTTACAGTCCCAGGAAAGGCGTGCAGTCTCCGCAGGATCCTGGTGGCCCAGTGTCTGTGTTACCACAGAAATGCCTCCCACTTACCAGGCCGGGGTCGCCCAGTGCAGAGCCAGCGTCCGGAGCTGACGCAGGTCTCTTGGAGAGTCGGGGTAACACCTGGGGGTTGGCTTGTCCCAAAGGCTGCAATCTGGGCCCCCATGCTGCCCTCCGGCTCACCCTGGTATCCAGAGCTCTGCCTTCTAGATTGTGTGCACCTGCTTCTGGCAGGGACTGATCTTCTGCCCTTTCTTCTCAGTTGTCTGGAAGCCGACAGGATCTGATCCCCTCATACAGCCTCGGCAGCAACAAGGTGAGTGTTTATAGTGGCTTCCGTCAGTGCTAGACCCGAACCCTTTCAACTTAGTCTTCTCAAATCTTTCATGCTGCCATATGATTATTGGTTTAACCAGTAATTTGCATTATGGGGGTTTGAGCTCAGGGTCTTGTGCTTGCCAGGAAAGTGCTCTGCCATTTGAACCATCTGCCTAGACCTTTTTACTTTATTTTTTCAGATAGGATCTTGTGTTTGTTTGTTTTTTCCTGAATCACCCTTGAACAATAATTCTCCAACCCTTGCTTCCCATCCAGCTGGGACTACACCTGTGAACTTCTATACTTGGCTGCTTCTTTTAGATAGTCTCATTAGCTTTGCCTAGGTTGGCCTAAACCTCCATCTTCTTGACTGTTGAGGTAGCTGGGGTTTCAGGTGTGAGCTACCACGCCCAGCCTCTCATGTTACTTTTGCATTCCAGAACTCTACCTAAGCATCTGAACTATATCACACTTATTGGAAAGTGCTTATCTCTTTCAATTTGTCATTTCAAACAAGGTCTTCTGCACCATCTTACTGGGGTTTAAAAAATGAGTTTTTTTTTTATTGTTTTGTTTTTTGCTTACATTCACCTTTCTGGTTGGATTTTTAAATCGTAAAGTACTGATGTAATTATTGAAATTTTCTGAGAAATAAGAAAATTACACATAAAATTAGTATTGTTTGTTAGGAAGGAAAGTAAGGGAACAAATTTTGCTAGTAGAATTTGTTTAGTTTGTTGTTTATGCAGCTTTGTCATGTAGGAGTTGTAAACAAAGAGTGACTTCCTATTGATGCAGAAAAGCACCAGCTCTCCTTGCCCCTGTCCTGCCTGGATGTTACTGATCACTTTGTGCCTATCACCTTCCAAGGGCCCTGGCTAGATTCTGGCTCTGTCCCCTGTGCGTAGCGTGCTCTGCACTGCACATGTGACTGTTAGGAGGTCAGGAGTGGACGATGTACGTGGCAGTGTGGGTAGGAGCTGCTTCAGAATAACTGGGGTGGGGGGCAGGGGGAGGTGCATAACAGAAAATGAGCTACTTCATTACTAATGTTGCATGCAGTTTATCATGTTACAGTCTTTTAAATTGTTCTACACTCTATTTTTTTTTTTTTTTTTTGGTCGGTCGTGGGGCTTGAACTCTGGGCTTGGGCGCTGTCCCTGCGCTCTTCAGCTCAAGGTGAGCGTTCTACTGCTTGAGCCACAGCGCCACTTCCGGTTTTCTAGTGATTTATTGGACGTAAGAGTCTCACGGACTTTCCTCCCCAGGCTGGCTTTGAACCTTGATCCTCAGATCTCAGCCTCCTGAGTAACTAGGATTACAGGCGTGAGCCACCAGCACCCAGCCACACTGTATTTTTGAATGTTTTTGATACTTTCCTTACAAAAACTTAGAGAGTAGTGAAGATAACCAATTACTTAATTTTACCATCTAGATTGTTAGTTTGCCTGAAATGAACCACGCACACACACATAGTTAAAAATCTTATTTTCTCACCTATTAGTTGCTAGGGGTTTTCTCTGCCAGGCATGACAGCACCTGACCATGGTCCGTGAGCTCAGGAAGGTGAGGCAGGAGGCCCGTCACCAAGACTGGCTGAGGTTGCTGTTCTTGCAGATTTATTTCCAGGCGGTATCTTTAAGTTGTGATCAGTGAAGGGGTGTTTCTGAAAGATTCATGTTTGCTTTTTTCTTTCTTCTTTTCTTTGGAGACTTCCTGCATACCTCAGTTTTCAGAGATCCAAGGAGAGGTAACGAATCCATTAGGTTTTCCTAATGAGTAGGGTACAAGTTCTAGGCTGCTCTTCCTGCTATCTGAGCCTTCCCACACTTGATCTTACCTTCACAACCCAAATGTAAAGTAGTTCGATATGGTACAGTCCTTACCCATCTATAGATGGTGCCTATGAATTCTTCTGACCCCAGAATTTTACACAGAAGGCTTATCTTTGTTCTTCTTCAGGAAAGGATTTGTCTGAGAGCATCTGAAGTTGAGATGCTGGAAGCTGCGTCAGAGATGTCTAGATTACATTAGTCACCCACCTCAAAGGCTTGCATGGGCTCTGTCTGCTTTCTCTGTTCTCTTCCATTAGTCTATCTGTGAAGGGGAAGCTCAGAAGAACAATACCGGTGAGAACGCAGGTAGCTCCGGACGTGCTGGGTCTCACGTCGTAGCCCCCCCACGAGAATCTAGGGATTAGCTGAGGTAGCACTGAGAAGCTGGAGAGGCACCAGGACAGGTCCTGCTTGCCTTCCTCGTAATGGTTTGTACATGTAGCAAAGAGCCGTCCGTGGCAAGCATCTGTGACATCTGGGGACAGGCGGGCGGGCGTGGAAGTCGTGGCATTTGGGCTTGTGGGGCAGGAGAGGACCTGGGAAGGCCCTAAAAGCAAACTCACTGTTTTCTCTAATAATACTTTGAACCCTGCCAGCCTGTTTTGCATACTCCCCTCATGCAAGAGAGAATTGGAGTTGTTTTACTCAGCTCAAACAAGATCAAATCGATGGACTAATTAATCTTTTGAAAAATAGAATTTGATTATTGTGAATTTCAACTTAGGACCTAAAAGATAAGTCTTTCAACTGCACACATAAAATATGGTTTCTGATTGAAGTGATGTTGCTATTTTACAGTTACCAGATGTTCCATCATCATTATAAGGAGGGGTTTTTTTATTGGCATAATTAAATTTAGCAGCCCTTTTATAGCCATCTACAACACATATTAGGTGCAAAAGTAATTTCAGCCTCTTGCTGGTCTTTCCACCTCAGTATTGTCTGTGTATTGAGGTCTTCAGCAAATGTATTGTTACCTCTAAAGTGCTAGAGAGGAAGTCTGCTGTCACCAAATGATCTAGCACTTGTCATCTCCCTGGAGTTTCTGGTGAGATCAGGGCTCCTTGTGGCCTGGATGGCTGAAGGATGCTGGGTCAGCACAGCTGAGCCGTCTTTTAGCCACGTCACTTTCCCGAAACTCCTCATCCAATGCTGCCCTGCTTCTTCGGGCTGATGCCAAACATGAGTCACTGCTTTATGGCATTACAAGCGGCTTTGGACCTGAAATGTCACTGGCACTTCTCTTTATTTACCTCTGTAACTTTCCTTATCACAACTGGGCACTTTTACGGAAAAGGTAAAGAAAGAATTTGGATCTGGCAGGAGAGCAGGAACAGGAAAGCCAGTGGTGTTCTGCGGGCCCAAGCAAGGCCTCGGCTCTTGTCTTGCTGACCAGGGCCAACTCCAGACAATTGCTGGCTTGCAGAGAATTTTATTTCTTTGAACAATAATCCTCTATATTTATGGAATCACCTGGGGCTCCACAGGAAGCAAGGGTTTCCTCTTTCGTATCTCTTCATCATGGCCAATTCTGAATTCAGCCAACATGCCAACTGTTAGAAATAGCTTAGAGATTAAATGTTTTGATGTTTCAGGTAGATAAGGTAAACAGTACTCTGGTAGGAGCCAAACCCAAACAAAACCCATGTCCTGGACCTGAAGATCTGAGCTATTGAAGAGAGGAAGCTCCAGTTTACTCACAGTCCCAAATTCATAGCCCTCTGAAATATGTTTAACTGAGTTGCTTCCCTCTTTCTCTCTCTCACACACTTTCTTTTGTGTCTTTTTCAGCACTTCAGTAAAGGGAGAAAAATGTTAGTCCATGACATCAGATTTATTAGAAAGACAGTTCATGCCACACCCTAAGCACAGATTTTGTCTCTGCAAAAGAATTATGTGCATAAGCCGGGCACCGGTGGCTCACGCCTGTAATCTTAGCTACTTAGCAGGCTGAGATCTGAGGATCAAGGTTCAAAGCTAGCCCAGGCAGGAAAGTCAGTGAAACTCTTATCTCCAGTAAACCACCAGAAAACCAGAAGTGCCGCTGGAGCTCCAGTGGTAGAGTGCTAGCCTTGAGCTGAAGAGCTGAGGGACAGGCGCTCAGGCCCAGAGTTCAAACCCCACGACTGATTAAAAAAAAAAAAAGAATTATATACATAGCTGTGACTCTGCTTGTAGTCTAGCCACTAAGGAGACAAGGATCTGAAGGATGGAAGTTTGAAGCCAGCCTAGGTAGAAAAGTGCAAGAGATTGTCTGAAGTCATCACATCATCAAAATTACCTGAAATCATCACTTGAGGCATGGCTGAAGTGGTAGAGTACCAGCCATGATCAAGAAAGCTGAGCAAGAACCCAAGGTCCTGAGGTCAAGTCCTGGTACTGAAGAAGTGGGATGGGGAGGGAGGGAGGGGCAGAGGAGAGCATACAGTGCTGGAAAAGAAGCTTGTGAGTAGTGACGCGCTGTCAGGTGTCTCTCTGAGCTCGGGCACCAGCCGGAGGGAGAAGGTGTCATGTTCTCGTGACCGTCACATCTGTTCTTCCTTCAGAAGCGGGGCCTGCGCTACTCAGAGCACCCCGAGACCTGTCCCAAACAGTCCTCAATACTAGAAACGGGTGGCCTGCGGTCCCTCACGCTGTTATAGCTGTGAAGGTGGCTGGGTGGCCCTGGGAGTCACGCTGTCTCACAGGCCCACAGTGTGGCTGGGGCAGCATCTAAGTCTCAGCTAACTCTAGTTTTTCTCACCTGGAACAGCTGGGCGTGAGCTAGGAAGAGTTACTGTGGCTGTTGTGTCTTGGGGGTGACATGGAGTGGAGGGGTGGCAACTAGGCTCCATGCCTCTGAAACTCAGCCCTATTGCTCTAGGAAAGGGGAAGCCCACGCCATTTTCGCTGGAGCCGTCCGTGTGGAAATAGCACAGCTGCGGACTGCCAACCAGCTGCTCCGTTTCCTAGGGACAGTGTCAGCTGCTAGACAAGGAAGAAGATGACCTAAAACAAGAGATTCAGTGAAGTACGTTGTCTTGGGAGCAACCCTGTGTGCACAAGACACTAATCAGAGCACTCCTCCTCTTCCTCTGAGAAGCTCCAGGCCTGCTGCCTCAGTGCTGTTCAGGGACCTGATGGTGATGTCCCAGGGCGCACAGAGCCTAATTAGATTTGAGTGCAAAGGACATTCACTGAACGTGAAAGCATGCAAATCACTGTATGATCCATAGTCACACAAGTGCTCCTGCAGTTTGGTATTTCAGTCTCTGCCCCCATCCTGTGCTCCTGTCTGTTTTGTTTTCTTGGCTTCCTGCCAGTGCTGAGCATCCAGGCAGTTTTAAAAGTGCTATCAAGCGCCGAGCGGTTCCCCGGGAACAACAGCATTGTCGGTGGTGCACACGATCCACATCACTTAGGGTTTATTGATTTTTTGATTTTATGATCAGTACTTAGGTTGCTGCTAAAAGCAGATAGATTCTTAATATGTATCAGAACCCTTTGGAGCAGTGGGGACTCTCTGTTTGCATTTTGCTTTGCCCGCAGTTTATCTGGACTGGACAACATGAGTTAATAGTTAGGGTCATTCATCTGTGAAATGCTAGCTGAAACTTATATTAAGTGCCGTTATTAAAGTCTTGTGACAAACCCTGAGTGATTATCAGAGGATCAAAGGGAACATACATGTAAAGCTCTCCACTGTACTGCCCATGAATTTGTGCTTCCACGAATTTCCTGTGGATGGGTAGAAAGGCCCACACCTGTGGAGGGAGAGGACGCCCTGTGGTGGCAGTTATCCCCAGACAGGAGCGCTTACTTCAAAGGAAATATCCTAATGCATCTCTTTGAGGAGGCCAGAGAGTGTGGCAGAGTGGGAGCCCTGTTATCATGGGAGACTAACACCGGTGCTAAGAGGACAGCATGCAGGAAGGAGGACTTGGATTCATCAACTGTCTGGTTCTGAAGGGAATCATATTTTAGTAATATAAAATAATCTTTCTTCGCGAATATTTTACAGTGGTTCTTGCTGTTGTTGTTAATGGATTAATTTGAAACAGTGACTGATTCTGTCCTTCATAGGGCCGGTGGGAAAGTCAGCAGGATGTTTCTCAAGCAGTGGTTTCCAGGGGAGTAGCGCCGGCCCCCCCAGCTCTCTCTGAGTGTCCCCAGAATAACCATTCTCCAGATCCAGGTGAGTTACCTTTTCACCTGTCAGTCACCACCACAAAATGAGAGTATCTTTCACAAAGGCTTAAGTCACGATTTCCTGCTGGGAAATGACCCTTCTACTCACTTCCATCCAAAGCTGTCCCTTCCGTGGCTTCATGAATTAGGTTTGGTTTTTTTTGTTGTTTATTTTGGCTCCGGTCGTGGGGCCTGAACTCTGGGCCTGGGCACTGTCCCTCAGCTCTTCAGCCCAAGGCTAGCACTCTACCACTTGAGCCACAGCGCCACTTCCGGCTTTTTTCTTTTTGCTTATGTGGTGCTGAGGAATCGAACCCAGGGCCTCAGGCATGCAAGGCAAGCGCTCTACCACTGAGCCACCTTCCCAGCCCCATGTCACGTCTATCCTGCCTCCCTCTGATAAATACTACTCCATCCTGGTGTGTTAATCTTACTTGACTCCGTTTGCTGATACTTTGTGTCTGTCTGGTAATGGATATCCATCTGTAATGTTTTATTTTCCCATGTTATATCTTTGTGAGATTTTGATATAATTATATCATAAAATGACTTGGAAGCTGTTTCTCTTTATCTTCTAGAAAAGTTTATGCATGCTTGGTATTTTACTATTTCCTTGATGCTTGACAGAAATCCTCTGAACTTGACTTTTCTTTTTTGGCAGGATTTTTGATTGTGGCTTGAATTTTTTTTTTAAATATTGAGTTATTTAGATTTTTACATTTCTTTTTTTTATTTTTTTATTTTTAATTAATTAATTTATTTTTTATTTGTGAACATACTGTACAGAGGGGTTACAATTACATGGGCAGGATAATGCGTACATTTCTTACCAAGCATTGCAGCCTCCTCCTTTGGTTTACCCTTCACATCCCTTCCCAGCCTCCCCCCTCCCCCCCAATCCCAACCCTTCTCCTCCCAGATTTTTACATTTCTTATGAGTCAACTTTCATAAGTTGTTTTTCAAAATATTAACTATTTCAACTTGATTATTATTACATGGCATAGCATAGTGTTATACTTCTTTTGAGATTTGTAGGATCTCTTGTATTGTTCCTTCTTATTATTCTGACAATGATTTTTTTTCCTGAATAACTTGTAGCAGGTTTGAAGAATGAATTAATCTTATAGAAGCAACTTGTGGCTTTACTTTTCTTAATTATTTTCTGTTGGTTTGATTTTAAGAATTGTTTTTCACATTTCAGACCTTTTGTCATGTGCTTCCAATATTATTAAAAATATCTTAAAATTTCCTTCTAATTTTTTTTTGACCCATGGGTTATTGAGTAGCATGGTAATTTTCTCTCTCCTTCCCTCTCTTTCTCTCTATGTATGTGTGTGTGTGTGTGTGTGTGTGTGTGTGTGTGTGTGTGTATATATATATATATATATATATACACACTAAGTGGTGTTTTCTTGTTTAACTTCATTATGTCAGGGAACAGTGTCTTTAAAATTTCAACTTCTAGGTGTTATCAAATGCATTTTACACTCTTATTCTTTGGTTTGGAACAACCACTCATCTTTTAGGGAAATTAAGAAAATACAGAACAAGTGGAACATCTGTTACATTTTTTTCCTTATATTCTTTCTGGCTCTATTCAGGCCTTCCCCAAACTCTTCCTTTCATCCGATTACATTTCCCTTAACCAGAAACATCTCCTTGTCATGTTTCTTACAGAGGAGAATGCTCTCCTCTCTTGAGAGTCTTGAGTTCAGGGATTAGGTTTGGGGTTTGTTTGTTTTTCCTTTTTAAACAGCCTATTTTCACCAGAAATATGGATTGCTGGCTTTTGCTTTTCAACATGTTATAGATGCTTCATGTCTCTGCAGAGAACTCAGACACCTTTTATGTCACCTCCACCATGTTGCATGTCTTTGTTGTTTTATCGGTTTTCACTGTGTCTCCTGGTCTTTGGGCTATGAACTACTTGGGTATTGTCTCTTAGTATCCCTCTCACTTGGGACTGACTAATCTTGGAGCTGTAAGTTGTTTATGGGTTGTTTATGGTTGAGAACTACTCAGCTTTCTTGAACCCTCTCCTCCCTCCTTCAATGATGGAGGTTGCAAGGTTGGGTGTCTGGTGTGTAGGCACTTCATGAGAGGTTACAGCAAGCAGTTTATTCCCTAATGTAGTTTTCCAGCCCTCAAGTTGGCTGAGTACTTTGGGGTGTTCAGTCTTCCCAGACATTGCGTAAGCTTCCTTATTTTCTGTTGGGTGTTTTAATAGACGCGCCTCTTGGGACTGGTTGAGTTTCAGCAGGTGCTGGTTGTTCTCACCCCTTTGCTCTCTTGGAGCAGGAAGGCCTTCTTGAGTGTGTGCTTTCTGACAGGTACACAGTTTTCACTTTGGCTTCTCATTTCACTGTACTCCACACTTCCCTTCTGGCTAGCCCTTTTCTGATGTCCTGTTTGCCTACCCTGTTGTCCAGGAGCCTTCCAGGTTCAGGAACTCATCGTTAGTGAGCGCTCAGGTCATTGTATAAACAGAGTCCTCTACATTGCCCACTCAGTGTCAGATGCCTTGTCTTGAAAATGGACCGCCACTGACTTAATTCCCTCCCTCCCTCCCTTCCTCCCTCCTGCCTTCATTGTCTCTTTTTCTCTTTCCTCCCTTTTTTAAAAAAATATTTTTCTTGTATCTTTTTTTTTTTAATTTGGTTATGGGGGCTCAACTCTGGGCCTGGGCGCTGTCCCTCAGCTGTTCAGCTCAAGGCTAGCGCCCTACCACTTGAGCCACAGCGCCATTTCTGGCTTTTTTCTGCTTACGTGGTGCTGAGGAATGGAACCCCAGCGCTCTACCACTGAGCCAACTTCCCAGCCCTTTTTTGTATCTTCTAGTTGGATAATTTCCTCTGTTGAGCACATCCACGGAATTTTTCACTTCAGCTATTGTTTTTCCAGTTCTAGAAGTATTGTTTGCCAAGGCTTTTCTAGTTTTCTCTGCTGATACTCTCTCTTTGCCTGTTTTGCATCCTCTTATGTATAAAAGCAAGTTTTATAAAACTTGTAAGTCAAACAAGGACTGCTATTTTTATTGAATCTTATTTTTTCAACCATGGGTCTCATTTAGTGAGTTTTGTCACATGCGTACACACATGTATCCTCACACCTATCCATGTAACTTACACCCTACTCAGCCAGTACATGGATAGGACTCCGGTGAATTCCTACCTACCATGGTCAGCCAGTGTTGTGATTTAGTTTGTTATATAGGTCACTTTGTGTCTAACTTCTTTGCACAAGCATGTCTTATGCATTCATTTCAGCATCAGTAATTCTTTTAATTACTGAGAAAATATTTCACCATTACAAGTGAATTTTTGATGTTTACTCAGTTCTCCTGCCTGTGGACATTTTGGTTTTCCAGTTTGGGGTTACTGTGAATAAAACTTATTCTTTTTGTGGACATTTTTCTTGTATAAGTATTAGGAATGACATTACTGTTTTCCAGGGGTCTCATCTAGTTTTCAATTCCCTGAATTTTGTTTCTAGTTGCAATCAAGGCTGACTTGATGCACATGTTCACTGCTTTGTGCTGCTTCTCGTTGGATCTTGCCATTCCACTCCAGTCTTCTGGGTTCCATTTGGCTTGCAATGAATTATCTCTGACATTATTTTTTCCCCAGCAATTGTTTTTTAGTGACTGACTCCATTTCTCTTAGGTGTTGAAATTATTTTGCTCTCACTGTGGAAACCCTTTTCTAAATATCAGATGTAAAAATGTAGACATTACCCAGCATCACAAACTCTGTTCCCTGTCCTCCATTCTTGCTCAGCTACTGCCTTTGGTGATGCCTGCGGCCTTTGCCTGGTTATTGCCTACATTCCTACTGAGCTATCTGCCATCCTCACGCTGCAATGGTAGTTTAATTGGTAGAGCTCTGATTGTAATTTTTTTCTCTCAGAGATGATTATCTTCTTCTGGCTCTTTATCTTAAACTTACTTTTGGCTTCTTTCCCTTTTTTGTTTTTATTTTTCCTCTTCCCTGTTTTCACCTTTTTATAAATCATTTGCTTTTTCTGAATTCTGTTGTAAGCCCCTCTTTGCTTTATCTTTTTAGTGAGTGAGTGCTCCTGTGATTACAACACATATCCTGACCCTTTCACAGTTAATATTATGCTATTTGTCAAATGTAGAGACCTCAAGGCCGAGTTGGCCATTTGCCAGCTTCATTGCCACTAAGTCTGGAGTCCTGGCCTAGTGTGGAGCAGGGTCCTAGCATGGCTGTGCACCTCTGCTCTGGGAGAACACCCTTCCTCCTTAGGTGACTTGCTACTTGTTTCCAGGTGTTACATGGACATGGTACTTTGTCATCTGTTTGGATTCCATTTCCTGTGAACCAGGGGAGGGGGATCTTTGGTTGTGTACATATCTGCCTCTTTGATCCTAGCCTTTGGTATGTCACAGCACAGAGAACCTGTTTAATCTTTTAATAATAATACCATCTGTCTTTTAAAAATAATACCACCCTTTAAAAGGCCCTGCTCACCATCTTTCTTTAGAAAATAGGAAAAATCAGAGTCGGGTAAGACCTAGTTCCTGACTACAAAGAGCTTGAAGTGTAGAGAGCTAGGCCGCTATGTTACTGATCACTGTTCCGGAGCAGAGCTTGGCACTTGTACCAGCTGTTGTCAAGAACCAAGGACAGGTTACCCTTCCGATACTTACAAGCACATTTCACCTTAGCACACTTTTAAAGCCCCCCAAGCATTGCTGTTTGATCGGTGGAAGAAAGACCATTAAGTTTGAAGATGCCTATATAAATACTACTTTTTTTCTAATACTGGCTTTCTAAAAGTTACTTTTTAAAGTTAATTTGTGACATTTAAAATATGTGGTAGATTTGCTTGCAGATGAAATGCGACTGATGTGCAGGAAAGGGAGTTGGAGCATCCGTGTCACCGTTTTTGTCCTTCTTTCCTTCTGTTGCAGGACATGGAGGCCTTGCAGCCTCCTACCTGAGTCCCGTGAAGTCCCTGGTACCTCAGATGCCAAAGCTGCTGAAGTCTCTCTTTCCTGTCCGAGATGACAGAAGGGGCAAACTGTCGTCCTCCCTTGCACATCAGGTAAGGAACGTCCAGAAAGCGCCAGGGAACATTATCCTGATGCACTGCTGGTGAAGTTTTGCTGCACATGGCTCTGAAGCTGGAGAAGACTTTCCATCTACCTCCAGCTTCAGTGGGGGCCACAGAGCTGGGCTTGCAAACCTGGAGAAAGCTGTGATAATTCCTCTTCTATCTCTTCAGAGATAACCGAGCTGTTTAAACTTATTGACACACTCCATCTTTTCTGCTTTTAAAAAATGCCAAGTATGCTACTAATGTGATTTATGGTAATATCACTTAGAGCAACAATAGTAAAATTTATGAAGTGCACTTAGTGTTGTTTGTGTATTGCCAAGTAGAAAATGTAATTCTATTTTTAATTCTTGATTTCATCCCTCTTTTCAAACACTCTATATCATGACCGTCCTTCCTCTCAAGCTCCTTTACTGTTTGCTTGACTGTGGATAATCTCTTCTTTCACTTTAAAATGGTCACGTGTCTTATTTTCCTTTAAGCACAAAACAAAACTTCCAGCCCCAGAATAAGTGTTAGGGAAAATGTTCAAGGGCTTTCTAGACAATCAGGAAGCTTCTCTTACGCAACGTGGAGTGGAAACCCTGTTGGAAATGGAAATTCTGTCCTTATATTGCTGCTAACTCAGCAGAAAATGATAAATGAGGATTTATTTATATTCATTTAAAACCACATAAAGTGTGTGTTGTTCAAATAAGGCTTTTAATATCAGTCTTTTAAGCATGCAAGTTGCAGAAACAGGTCAGTGTTTTCTGAGACTTAACTATTTACAAGAATTGTCTAAGTTTCTGAATGCATACTCAAGGGAGACGGGGTATTTATTATGACGTTGCTGTGCTGTTACACGGTATTTTCAGTCTGTACATAGCACACACATGTAGGATGAACTGAGCGTGGAGATTCTAGGAATTTCACGCTGTGTCGGGAGGCAGCACAGCGCTCAGGAGTTACTGAAGTGGGTCTGACTGGAGGGGCAGGAGCCGGCAGGCAGAGCTTCCAGTGTGTGGCACTCTTCTGAACTTCTCTGTCATTGTTTCACAGCGAAGACCCACGATCTGAGTTACCAAGGTTATGTTTTAAAACACGCTGTTAGCCTTTCCTGGTGACCCGCAGCCCACCAGGGGAAGTCCTTACACCTGCGTGTGTAAGCATGCAGGCCATTCTTGCTCACCTTCAAGTGTGACAGCCACTGTTTTTCAGTTGTTATTCAGTGAAGAAGATTGGAGTCCTTACATGTTGTAATCAGCCCCCGTAAATTGGTACAATTATTCTCTAAGGCCATTTCCAGTTTTGACATGGCAGGTTAAAGCACCTGCTTTTGCACATGAGAATTTACACACTTACTATTCTAGCAGGAAGTGATTGGTGCTCTAGATAGGAGGGGGCAGCAGCATTAGGAAGAACTCCTGAGACACAGAAGGACAAGTATGATTTGTCACACTTGGGTTAAGAGATGTTTGATGGAAATACCTGTTACACTTGTTAGCAATTTTTGTTCATTCATGTGCAAATCTACTTATTTTTGAGCACGTGTGGGGAAACTAGCTTTGTGCAACTAGATCACACTTCATTTCATATTGTGAGGTAGGTCTTACTATGTAGCCTCGGCGGCCTGGAACTCTGTAATCCCTTCCAAGGATGCCAGTGTTACCACACCCCACTCATTCATACTTTCTAAGTATAGCAAAATACAAGCCTAAAGCTGGCCTTAGTGACCATGGTCTTTAGTTCCAATAGTAGAACCAAAGCATTTCAGTTGTGCCTTGTACCCTCTGTGGAAGGTCCGAGGCTGTCTCTGTCTTCGTTTCCCGGGTAGTGTGTCATTCTTCTCAGTGGCCTTTTCTGGGCAGTTTCTTCCCGCATGTTTTTGGGGTCCAAATATCCTCCATGTTTCCTTCTTACCAAGAGACTGGGAGATAGAGTGACCCCATCCTCTTAGCCTCCTGTCAGTTGTCTAGCGGGCCTAGGCCAGTGTGAACCCCATGACCACTGCTGGGCAGCCCCGCGGGCTGCCTGGCTTTGCCTTCACTCTGTGCAAGCATTTAATGGTATGCTGCTTAGAAGCAGCTCAAGAGAGACTAGCACAGACACACCCTGAGGCTCCCTCTGTGTTTTGATCCTGTCTCTGCAGCCAGGGCACACACAGACGATTATTAAATAAGCACAATCAATTTAGATATTTAGAACAACATTAAAGGTAGAATCGGGAGAAAGACAAATTGGTGTATTTGCCTAAAAGGAATCTGTATCAAGTCTAGAGTGTAGGAACTGTTGTCAGTGCTCTGGGGCCGCGTGAGATGCTGACAGTGAAGAGATGGCAGCAGCACTCGGGGTTCATGATGTGAAACAGCCCTACAATCAAAACACAAACCAACTGGTTTGGAAGCGCATGAGAGAGCGCCCCGAAACCCACGGGCCTGGGCGGCAGCATGCCCCTCCATCTCCCCTTCCCCGGCCTTCTCCTTCACCATCAAAAGCCATGCTCACTCATGAAAGAAGTTAAAATAACTTCCTTTGTGTGTGTCTCAGTCTCGTTCCCCGCCTGGGTTCTGTGTGGTGCCATCAGAGGGCACCTAGAGGACTGCATTACTGTTCTGGAAACCAGTGACTTAAGTGGGGGTGATTTCAGAGACGTGCTTCCTGAGGAAGGGTTGGAGTCCACGTCTACAGTTTGGTCTTCCACAGAGGATGGGTTCCAGGGGCGCAGTGCGGAGTTGGAGACCGGGACGGGAAGGAGCAGGAGGCTGAGAGCGTGGAGTGCGAGCCATGGAGGGACAGCGTGGGCTCCTCTCGCCTCTGGTGTTGAGAAGCAGGACATATGGGGAATGTGACCAGCCCAGGGATGCGCTTAGGAGAGGTGGGTCCTCCCCACCAGCCCCCTCACATTTCCATTGGCAGACAGGGTGGAGGAGAGGAAGCAGAAGTTGTGAGCTGAGGGGGTGATTATTATCAGAGGCACTTGTAATCAGAGTGCCCTTGACATTTTCTGAAGGAATGCTCAGTTCCTGCCCTCCCTTGAGGGAGGGTGAGCCACGGTGAGCCTGGCCCTGGGGACTGCTGGCATCTCAGGCCCTCGGCTGCTGTTCCTCCAGCCTAGGTTGTGTATGGGTGGATTGGAAAGGATCCTCACCTCCTCGTGTAAGCTGGAAGTTAACACTTTCTTCTTTGAGAAACAACGACTGTCATAACTTACAAAGTCTTGGTTCAAGCATATTCATAAAGACTTTACATTTCTCGTTTTTTATGAGATTAGTTCTTTTGTAATCAATTCCTGTCTGAGTTCCAGAAATGCAAAGACACTGCACAGAAAGAGGTGGCAGCTGACAAAATTGCTGTCTTTGACCTTCTGATGCAAGTTTAGAAACGAATCTGGAAAATAATGAACTGCAATTAATGAAATCTGCACTCATATTCAAGTGTGTTTCTCAGACAGCACAAAAAAAATAATTGAAAGAACTTCCTGCGCTCTAATTAGTTAGATTGAATTAATTGGCATGCTAGGTTTTTTTCCCCTCTATCTGGAAGTCTGTGCTCAGATGAAGCTCTTTATGTGCTTAAGTCTGGGCCTCCAAGTGGTATCATTGATTAACCTGGGGAATTAAAGTTAATGGTCAGGTTGAATTTCCACCACAGCCTGTTTCAGTTTCTGTGTGTGTCTGCACCGGGGTAGGTGGCCCTGTCCACCACAGGGCAGCCCTTCTGCTGCAGCGGGCCTCAAGTGGGCCGGCAGAGCCTCCGTGTGGCAGAGTCAGCACAGTTGGGAAGATGCTCCTGTGCCGGCCATCTTTCCTTATGTGACTTTCTTCTAGGAAGTGCGGGAACACCATAATCTGTGTTCTTCCCAATACCCTGTCTGGTCTTCCTTGGTGAAACGAGCTGTGTAAATGCATGCCTTCCTCTTGAATAAGAGTGCAGCACCTTACCTAGCTAAAATGTTCGAGCCTACCTAATCATTCAGGTTATTTAAGAGAGAATGCAGGTGGGCATTTCCCCTGGGATTTCATATTGCCTGTATTAACTGGCTAAATGAGAATGTGAGATGTTACATTCCTTTGTTAGGAATTAATAGAGAAGTCTGAGCAGGCCTGTGCAGTAAGCCTTTGCTTTCTTGATTAAAAAAAGAAAAGGAGGCTGGGTAAGCTTCCTGTTTTAAACACTTTTCTTTATCACTTAAGTGTCTATCAGCAATTTGTACATCTGGTAGCTAATCTGCTTAGCAACCTGGCTGCTTAGTAGGAAGGAAATAGTTTTGTATAGATACTTTCTTCCTTTAAAAAAAACCTTAATTTAATTGTTAAGGTGATATAGAGAGGGATTACAGTTATATGTCGAACTTGTTACCCCCTCTTTGAATCAGGAAAAACAACCTGAGTGAAAGGAGGATTTGGGCTAGGGTAGTGTTCATATCTCTAATCTCAGTTACTTGGGATGCAGAGATCTGGAAGACTGTGGTTGAAGGCCAGCTTGGGTAAAAAATAAGGGAAACCCCATCTCAACTAGTAAGTCAGATGTTGAGGGAGGAGCATGTTAACCAGCCCCTGAGAAGAACGGGAGACCAACCTGAGAAAGAAGAAAGAAAGGACTTGGGGGAGTGGTACAAGTGATAGAATCTTTGCCTACTCAGAGTGAGGCCCTGAGTTCAAACTTCAGTACCACAGGAAAAGAAAATTAAATTTGGACTTCAGTTCCTTTAATAACGAATTTTCAGCTCTTGCCACAGTTGGGAGACTTAACCTTACTAGGTTTCCAAAAATATTATTTTGCTGTCTAGCTTTGCCCCATACCCAGAGATACCAAGTTGGCAAACGTAGCAGCCAATCTGAAAAACGATGAATTGTATCAGCGATTGACTCCAGCACTCAGACGTCTGCTGTGCGGCAGAGGGTGGGCGTGGCTGCTGTGGCTGGTCACCTCTTGGAGTGGGCAGTGTGCACTCTCCACTCCAGAGACAGGATTGCTCTCTTGTTTGGGGACGGGCAGGATGGGCAATCTTAGTCAGAACCACCAGAGAGAATATTAAGCTAGTGAGTCTGAGTGTGCCCTAGTAAAACTTGGTTTATACTGCAGAATTTGAATTTTCCTGTTTCCACGTGTCATAGGTCCTTTGGATTTGTTTCCAATATTATGAATGTAAACTCTGTTTCTAAGCTCACGGGGGGGGGGGGGTGCGGGGCCTGGGCAGGCCGGGATCCACTGTGCACATTACACCACACTGGGTCGGTCGGGCCTTTCCTCAGCCACATCCCTGACCTGCCACCCCCTGCTCTTTTCCCTTCCAGGCGATAAGCATAACCTTTAAAAACAAAACAACGTTTCTATTGATTAGGTTATTGCTGAGTCTTGAGCTTCTGGTAATTATATATGATGGATGGAAATCCATCTTGTGCTACTTTTATCAGAACATTTGAAAATTAACAAGTGTTTTGTTGCACACACTGCGTCTTGCTTTTATTGTTTAAGTTGTTCACACTTAGCATCAAGAAAATGAGAGCCTAGTTCTTGTCATAAAATTAATGCTCTAGGCTAGGTGGTTGTGGATAGTGCCGTGGCCCTGGCCTCCGGGAGGCTGGGCTCTGGAGCATGGTGCTTTGGGCGTTCAGGGCTGAGGCCCGCCAACCAGCTATGTGGGAAGCCGCGACAGGGACAATTTCCATTCCAGGACAGCTCGGGCAAAAGTCTGTGCGATGCCATCTCAGTAGAAAATTCTAGTCCTTTCTCCAGCACTCTTGCGCTATGTGAAGCCACATGTCTTTCATCCTGGATGCCTACAGTGGGTCATGGTCCTTGTGTGCATCTGGGCAGGAAGGGAGAGCCTGTCTCAAAATTAACCAAGCAAGAAAGGGCCAGAGGCATGGCTCAGCATTGGCGTGCCTGCCTGGCCTCTGAGATTCCCTGAGTTCAAACCCCATCATAATTACAATCATTTTCTGTACTTGGATTTAAATCATTAGTTTGTATTTTAAGATTATATTAATTTAGACCTCATTAAAATGACATTGAAGAGTTTATTTTGGTTTTGTTTTTCGATCATGGGCTTTGAACCTAAGGCCTAGGGCACATTCAGCTTGCTGGCTGGCATACTACCATTTGAACCACACCCTCAGCCCAGAAAAGTTTATTTTAAACAAGAAAATAATGCATTAGAAAAGTTTGTGTTGCTGAGCGCTGCTGGCTCATGCCTGTAATCCTAGCTACTCAGAGGCTGAGATCTGAGGTTCATGGTTCAAAGCCAGCCTGGGCAGGAACCTCTGTGAGACTCTTATCTCCAATTCATCACAGAAAAGGCCAGAAGTGGCGTGGTGGCTCAAGTGGTAGAGTGCTAACCTTGAGCAAAAGAAGCTCAGGGACAGCGCCCAGGCCCAGAGTTAAAGGCCCAGGACTGGCCACCAAAAAGCAAGCTTAGTGTTGAGGAAAGTCTATTTGGTGTGGGCATCTGAACAGAGGGCTTTGCACTTGGAGGGCAGGCACAGTCCATTTGAGCCACATCTTTGCCCTTTTTTGAGGCAGGGTTTTGCCTTGCCTTTTTGCCTAGGGCTGGCCTCAGAACACAATTCCCTTATGTGTAAGATCTCTCATATAGCTGGGATTCCAGGAAATGCCATTATGTTCAGATGGTGTCTCACTAACTTTTACTTGACCTAGCCTTTAGTCACAATCCTCCCAATGTCTCTTCTTCGGTTACCTGCCCCGCTAAAGCTGGGGCTCACCAACGCCGGGTTCCTGGAGGCCTGGTGGGCAGGGCCTGGAAGGCGGTGTGGGCAGGGGTGGGTCACGTGCCCAGTGATGGGCAGGACAGGTGTAGCCTTGTGCTGCGGGGTAGGAGTTTGTTCTTGTAGGCAGGTGAGGTTCTGGAAAAGCTCCTTGCCAAGTGAGGAGATTCTCGTCCTTTCCCCAGCATTCTTGTGCTGTGGGAAAGCCATAGCTAACAAATAAGTGACCGCCACACCACCTCCCTGAAACATACCAGTTGGTTGTGCACCCACCTGCTTGTCTATGTGGTAGACGTGGAAGCCCATGGTCCTTCCCTCTCTGTCATGAACCCACCCCAGGCTGAGCGCATTGGAGTAGAGTGGGTGAAGGCTCTGGAGACTGGCGTCTCGTGTGAAACGTCGACACTTACACTTGCGCTCACTTGCCTCAGGAGACGTCTCCCTAATATTTATAGCTGCAAAACGCTTTGCATCACTTTATTAATAGTTACCAGATGTGTCACAGGATTAATGAACTTAGAATGTGAAATGTTACAAGCTACTGAAATAGAGGCGACACCTGCACAGGGATATGGAAAAGCATTCACATGCAAACAATAGCATTTGCAGACTTGTGCTTTTCTGTGTGAAGGAGAAGTGCGCCGTGTAGGCTCCGGCGCACTTAGCAGATGGACCTGAATCCTTCTAAAGATGGTTGAGTTCATACAGCCAGTGCCATGGAAGGTCCAGTCACCCCAACCCCACATGCATGAGTGCATGGCCATGCACTCGTGTGCACGCACACACACGCATGCACGCGGGCACGTCCCCTTCCTAAAGCTTCTTCTTGTAGAGCATCCTCATCACTGCCTCCTTAGTGGCTTGGGCTCTCTTGATTGCCTGTGACGTCACACAGCCACGCCCGGGGGGGGGGGGAGTACAGCTCTCCTCACTAGAAGGACTGTCTTCTCCAGGTAAAGTGGCAGATGCACAATGCCTCACACCGCCATGCTGCTTTAGCTGGCCTCAAAATACAGTTGCTCCACTCAGGAGGTATTCCAGATGGTTCCATTTGTGATTGCTTTCTCTGCAGAATCCTCTCTTTGACACTCCTGTTCCATGATTCATGAAGGGTTCCTTCATTTTGGTTACTGGGTTAATACCCTCCTTTCCCCGGCACCAGTCTGCCATCTCTGGGCCTTCCTGACTCTGTGTGAGGCTCTGGACCTTTGGAGGCCTGGTGGCCCTGGCTGTGCTGGGCTTCTTCACGGAGCGTCAGAACAGGACCTGGGAGGAACTCGAGTCAGTGAGCTGCTGAGGTAGGAAGGGCAGCTTCCCGCTTCTTCCAGACAGTCCAGTCGTCTGATCTGTATCTGACCCTGTTTAAACCCAGTGACAACAAAATGAATTTCGGCTTTCTGACTTCCTATTCCCTGCTCTAGCTCCTGTGGTTTTCCCTCGGTGTTCCTTGGAGGATGTGTCTGGGGACACTGCTCCATCTGTTCATTCAGGCTCTAGCGCCATGCTGGGAATCTCGTGACTGTGTTAACTCCGTGGACTTCCACTATTCCAATCAGTTTGCATTGCATTCCCCTGCCAGGCTTTCTGGTTTTCATCCATCTTCTGCTTTGTTTGCTCTGGAAGCTGATGACTTCTTGCTCCCTAGTTACGTTATTCCTGGACAGCTGGGACCACCCTCGCTGGCTCTGTCCTGTAGCACAGCTGCTAGCCTCCTTCCCTCCCACTCCCGGGAAGCCACGTTGCCTTGACTGCATCTCAGCTGCACCCAGCTGCAAGATGGCCTTTCTGCTTCCTTCCTGGATCTTCCTCATCTCTCTTTCCTGATCCTTCCTGTCCCCACTCCTCCTCCAGGCAGGCGTCTGTCCTTGCACCCAGTAGAGCTCTTGGTCAGTGTGTCTGTGATGGGCGCACTCCACGTGCATCAGTGACGTGTGCAGCTCTCCCTGGCCGGGAGCGAGCCCTGCTGGGTTCCTTGCTCAGTGTGTGGTGTGGAGCCCTGGCACCTGCCTTCTGACTGGCAGGGGTGGGTTGGAGTTCTCGAGAGTTGGGAACGTGGTGGCATCCTGCCCATGCTTGTCTGCCCAGTACAAACCTGCGTGGAAGTCTCCGTGCTCCCTGGGTCCCTCACCTGGCCACTTGTCTCCTCAGCCCGTGCCGCGAGTCCTGGTGCAGTCTGCCTCCCCAGATCCCCGGGCCACCAGGATGGATGAGGTGAGTCACGGGGGGGGGGGGGGCCCCGCCCTCTGCGGTGGCCCTAGCACTGGCTCTTTCACCTGCACTTCTTTCCCTCCCTGCTCCCAAGCTGCTAATGAACTGCAATGTAGGTCACTGTCTTCCTCCTGTACATTCTCCTTGTTACACTTGGCTATTTTCAACCTGTTAATCATATGATTGCTAACCTTTGAGGTGCTTGACTGCTAATGTAGTCTGCGCTTTAGTAGCCCACTGCTAGGCAAAGGGGAGTTCTATAAACAGAACAGTCTCCTTCTTCTAAGTGTTTGCTTAATTCTCAGTTTTACATTTCATTCTGATTCATGGTATCAGCGTGAAAAGACTAATGCTAAGCTGGGAGAAAATAGTCTCTTATGATCCCCCGCCGATCAAAAGGCACTTCTCGTCTTATGAATAGCAAATCTGTTTGCTCCCACTGTGCCTCCGTTCTCTTAGGCGATGCTGTATCTTCATAGGGAAATTTTATTTATTAAAACGTAACAGCAAAAAGCCTCAGTAATTTGAAAGAACATCACACCTATAGGCATTCCCTCCTTTCTAGAGCGTCCTTTCGCTCTGGTGTCCTCGCGACGTCCTTGTGGTCCGGGCTGGGCGTCTCCTTCCCCAGGATCTCATCTGTCATTCTGCAGAGACTGCTTGGGCATCCAGCAGGTCTTCCTGAGGCCCTGTAAACTCAGTGACCTCCTCAGCTCTGGACTTTCCTGGAAGTCTCTCTCCTCTCTCCTCTCATTTGAGCTCAGGGCTTTTTGCTTTCTAGTGTGTCTGGCCTGAGACACTCTAACCCTAGAATGGTCTTTTTTAATGACAAGGCCAAAACTCACTGATGCCAGCCAGGTTTCCACTGCCCCGTCAACTCCAGCTCAGGCCTGTTGGTGGTGGCTGAGGCTGCGGCGGCCCAGGCCTCTGCCATCTGTGGTCGCCTCACTGTACAGCAGAGCCTTAGCCCATCCTGCCTGCTTCTACCAGTGACTCTAGGGAAGACACTAGCACCATAAAGCCAGAGCTCCAGCCTCTTCCTTTCCCCGCTCTTGAGCAGCCAAGGGCAGAAGAGGAGAAAAGGTCAGGGCCATACTTGCTTCCCAGTCTTTCTTTGTGTGTGCTTCCCCTCATGGTCAGTTACACTAAAAACTAAGATAGGAAAGAACAAATAAAACAGGTTCAAGTGGCTAAAGAAAAATGATTGAAGGGTTGCCTAATCTCTTATTTATGCTGTTGACAGTTATTGATCTATTGGATTGAATAAATTTTGCATCCCAAACATCCATCACAAAAATGGGCTGTTAATCTCAAGAGGTGCCGTTACTGTCATCCCCTGAAAGTTGCCTTGTGGGGGATAGAGGCCTCTGGAAACAGGAATATAAATGACAGTTCCCGGGAAAAACGCATGATTTATCAAACCGCTGAGTTAAGCCAAGTAACTGTAAGAGACTTATAGATCTCAGCTGTTTCCCAGTTCAAATAAATCCTGTATTTCAAATGGAAAATGACCATTCCTGGAATATAAATAATTTTTCTGTAAATATTGGGAAACATACTTCTTTTCCTGAGCAGCCCCTTCACCTCCTGCCTAATCTCCCATTCCCCGTCCCTCTCCTAGCCCACAGCAAGGGCCTGCCCCTGCCTGTGCACGCCTCCACACGTGTACCCCTCCCCGCCCCCTGCCTGTGCACGCCTCCACACATGCTCCCCCTCCCCTCCCCCTGCCTGTGCACGCCTCCACACATGCTCCCCCTCCCCTCCCCCTGCCTGTGCAC